TCTATTACCAATATTTTGCTTTAATTTTTTTTTTATACACACTGATGCAGATATTTTACATAGCTGAATAAATCTAACTTGGCATGTACTGTAAATATGTTATTGCTTTAATTGATTAGCCTCACTCTGAATCAATATCCTGGAACAAATTCTTGGTAAACTAGTAAATTCATGTGGATTGAATTGGAGCAGTGCCCAGTTATAATACTGATATTTGTACATCTTTAAATTAGGGCTGCAAGATTAATTGCGAGGGAATCTAAATCACAATATGAATGGATGCAATTAGCAAATCGCAAAGGCTGCAGTCTTTTGAAGTATCATAATTTCCTCCTCAAGAAACAAAATATCCTGTTTTATTCTTTATATAGTAGTAGTTTAGACCTCTACAAACATGATTTCAAATGTTGTGTTAGTTTGTCAGCTCATATTTCAGCATTTTTGTGAATTCTAGATGCGTTTACAAGGTGAACTTTGAACATTTAGAACATAAATGAGAAATGTAGTCGCAATGTCAATACTTGCAATTAGATATTTTACCCAAATCTTTCAGCCGTACCTTAAGTTTGTGTAGTTACAATGTATTAGAGGCAGTATTCAAAAATTCCAATTGCATACCTCCTATACATTGATTGTAACAGCTCTACTTGGCCTAAAGGGTCACACACACTCTTTGTCCGCTCTTTACAAGTTTGCGCAGAGTGAAGAAACCAAATCAACCCCTGTCTGTGAAGGTGAACTTGCTTTTTTCTACTGTGCGCTACAGATAATACGACTGCTGATTGTAACTGTAGCCAGGGTTGAAACTGCCACTCAGAGAGCCTCGCTACAGACAGACATGATTCACTCTTTGTTTCCTCTATCTCTCACTCCACTTCCTCCGGCACAGCGCTCTTTCTTTGGCCCATTTCTCCAAACGAATCTTAATTGAGGGTGTGCAGCCAACCTCAGTACCCACAAGCACCGGTGTCTGCTCTCCTGTCCCAAACCCTGTAATCTGCCGCACTCCTGACAGCTCCATTACACAAAGCCGAAAGCCCTTTTTCACAGCTCGCGTTTCGGGGAAAGATAAAGCAAATGCTCAAGGAAAAGCCTTGAATAAGATGCCCCACTGTTGTCGTAAATAAAGTTGATATTTAACAGTGCGAAGAAAAGTTTGTGGAGAGACTTAAGATTGTAGTAATACTTTGTTACTCCTTTGGTGAGTTTGTTGATTCACCTGCGATGCTGGGTACAGGGATTTCATGGGGTCAGCTTTGTGGTAGCCTGGAGAGCAAGATTTTTCCAACCTGCAGGCTTTTTTTGACAGGACAGAGGACAGAAATATTACAACAAAAAAAAAAAGTTTTATTTTGTCTAAAAACAAAATGGTTTCAATATTAATTTCCTAAACTTAAGACTGAATTTTTAATAACTAGCATTTGAAACAGAAAATAATCAAATGTATTTTTTCGAACTGTGACTTCTGCTCCAAAACCAAAAAAAGCCAAAAAAAGCTGTAGACCTGTTCATTAAAAAATCCTAAGCATATCGCTGACAATTAGAAATGACTGAAATATATTTGAAATGAGGGTAAAGCGTGGGGAGAGACATTCAGCAAACATCTGGAGCCTGTACAGAACCTAAGTTATTGTGCAGCCTCTTTGATATGTTTGTTTTCCATGACTGTTTTCTTTATTTATTTGAGTTGCATTAAGCTTCCTCTCAATGTCAATACATTCCTGTTTTGCTTAAACTATAGAAAACAAGGATTTGCATCATAAAGGAAAGGCAGCATCCAGGGCAGGCAGCGTGAAAACCAAATGATTATTCGATGGACTCATTCTTTTCTCCAGTGGTCTGTCAAACAAATATCAATTATGTTCAGAGAGTCCACACAAGCACATTTAGTTTGAAATGCATAAACTCCTCTTCCTCCGACTCCCCCAGTGGAGCTGAGGTGAGACAAAAGACGTGCATGAATTCACTGTTTTCAAATTAAGTGGGTTACTGCAGGAATTTTAATAAAAATGCTTCAGAAGTGCCAGGTTTTTTAGGTTGAAATGAAAAACAGTGTCTTTTTCATAAAATAAAACAACACATTCAGCTTACATCAGCTCAAAATTCTGACTCTCAAAAAAGAAGGTAGTTTATGAAGAAGTAGACTAGTTTTAGCTTTGTTCGGTTAAATGGGCATTAGGCGTTATCTGGTTACCATGGCGGTAATACAGGCTGCGATTCGCCATAGATTGACCTTAGTGCATAGCTCTCCATGTTTCCCAGTTTGACAATGGCACAAACTGTAAACAACTTAAAAACCTTGAATTTTTGCCACCATATTTTTCCTATCATTCAGTTCTCATCTCTACATTTAACCTTGAAGCCAGTCGCATCAGCTGAACTGTTATTTGCCACCATAAAGCCATGGTTTATTTTTCAGTATGAAATAGAAAAAAAAATACTTTTAATAAAATGAAACAACATAACATGTCAACTTTATTACATCAGAACTTCAGACTGCGGCATCAAAATCACATCAAACGCCTTTATTTGGATGCCTTTACACTTGAGGGTTCAGATTTTCCATCTGATGTTTGATGCTGACATTTTAGAGAAACATTACAGCTCTAAATGATGATACATAAAGAAGAAAATAGATAGATAAAGTAAGGTTTAGCTTTGTTCAGTAATGTTGTTAATTAGCTATTATGTGGTTACAGTGTACAGTGATAGAAAGCACTATTTAACAGTCGACCGCCACTGTTCTATCAAAGCAGCGTCTTCACCAATGTATATGAATAGCTTTTGATTCATAAATATTAACCTTGTTGGTGCAGATGTTTCCATGTTTCTTGCTTTGAAGGTTGCACAAACTGTAAACAACTTGACAGCCTCTAATTTCCGTCACCATGCTGTTGCCAGTCATTCAATTCTCATCCCCAAACTTAACCTTGAAGCCAATTATATTAGCTGAACTGCTATTTACCACCACGAAGTCATAGTTTATTTTTTCTGGCCGTGGGTAGATGACGGAAAAAACACTGTATAAATTATGTGTTGAATGTTTATTTCCACCTACCTACTTCCTGTTTGCCTGATCCCTCCAGCTGTTCCCCTTATGCAGGGCTATTGGTGCCCACTGTGCAGGATTGCCTATCGACACCTCCAGATGTTGGGCCAGCATGGGGCTGTCTCCGGGCCGACCAGTGCAGAGGGAACATACGTGTGTGTATTCAATCTCATCACACTGGGGGTAATTAGAGAACCAGACGTGTCCGGATGTACTTCAGGCTTCACACCAAGGTCGTAGCCAGTGATTAGAAATGAGTGGGGTATATTTATTTGCTATCTGAAAAGAGGATTATGGAACTGTATTAGCTCACCATAAAAGCCCCTATATTACACCAAATTGACTCTTGTGAGCTTTAAGCCATGCTATAATGTTGTTACATTATTAAAAACATCTCTGGAGTTGTGTTTTGCTTCATTCACACATGTTTGAGTAACCCTTTATTATTAGTCTGTTTACATCTCCAAAGCTCAGAATGCTTTGTTCCACTTTGTGAAGTCATGAAGAAGTAGTTTTCAAGTTAATGGCTTCTTTTTAACTTTAGTTTAGTGGAGATTGGCAATTCCAGGGGGGAAATTAGCCAAATGATTATAGTGAAGGTCTATGGAGTTTAAAAACACAGTGGAGCAATTTCTGTATTACAAGTTGGGGCAGAGTGCTTTCCATTTGAGGGAAGAACCTAGCCTAAATATGAAGAGTTTGTATGTTAAATATATGTGAATGAAAGGAAACACAACTCCAGGTGTGTTTTTGATGAGGAAACAACATTATAACATAGATCAGAAAATAGCCTAATATCGGCACTTCAAATTCAAAATATAAAATGTCAACTTTTGCCTCTAAATACTACTAAACAGCACTTTCAGTTAAGCAAGAATCCCATTTTTGCCACAAAAAATTATCTATAAAGTAGGTGGATGTGTGTAAAATGTTGCACCGATTCTCTGGGAGACTTTAAAATGATTTTGTGATCCGTGTAAAACTTATTTTCTGTCAAGATTTGCAACCCCATGGAAAACAATAAAATATGTATATGTGTATATTTTTTTCATCATATTTTTTGTTATGAGCATAGCGTCTTATGCCTTAAGGTGTCAAATGAGTTGTTCGAATGTGTTTGCAGGTTTGAACGCAACTTGCTTCTGTATTTTTCAGTAACTATATGTTTTTCTTGTCTACACTGAAAATTCTTCCTTCATAATGTGTCATAACATTTCATTAATAATTACTCTGAAGTGTTCTCCTCATTATTTCAACAATTGAGTGAAGACTGTTGAGTGATTTGGGAATACTTCACCAGACTGCACCTCTCCTCTTATTTCCACGCTTTACACTTTAAATATCTCAAAGTGCTTTTGTGCTAGTAAGAATGAACTAAGATGTTGTTAATTTCTTTATTATCAATATTGCCATTACTTTGTTTCTGTGCAGCACTTTTGAAAACTGTACAAAATGTCCTAAACAAATGAAATGGATTGGATACAGAACAATGCCAGAGAAATGAAAGCTTGAAATCCCTCCTGAATTAGAAACAAAACATTTTGAAAACAATTTTCTTAATTCACTCTTGCTGTGAAGTACATAACCAAACTCTCTGCCTCTCTCTCTCTTTTGGATTTGCTGTTCTGCTATTTTGAATCTTTCACAAAAATATCATTGGAGCTGGTTCCTTTTGTATAAAATGTCATCGCTGGTATTTAAACAGATGGAGGAGAAGGTCCCAGAGGCTGATTAAAATGTACCAGGAGCTCTCTGTGGCTATGAGCTGAGTGACAGGAGTTTGATGTACTGCCTCTATCCACATATCTGCAGCTCTGTGATGGGAGGAACACAGGGTTGTGGAGAGGAGGAGCGGAAAGAGGAGAGATTGTGCTTAGATAAGTAACGGTGACCTTTTCCTTCCTTTCTTCCATGTCATTTCTCACAGGCTGCACTTTGTCATGTGTTGCAGGGACAAGTAATGGCTCTGTCCTGGTCTATAACCTCACCAGTGGGCTGCTTCACAAGGAACTCAGTGTGCACTCGTGTGAAGTCAGGTAAGAGGTGAAAAATGGTGCAATGCTTTTAGTCCGTGTGGATGTAATATGTTCAATGGCCAACTATAAAAAAGTATGCATGCTTTTCTTACTAATTAAGGATATGTACTTTTAGACTGTAAGGATAATCAAACTCATTCATCCTTGCCGTTTCAAAAGATATTGGTAGTTTTCAGATGACATCATACTCTCAAACGGAGGGCAAGAGGCCTTTTTTCCTGTTGATTTAATTGAACTTTGTCATGAAATATCTAAAAGGTGAAGTCATAAATGTTAAACTTGATCATTTCTATTAGCAGAGGTGGGGATTTGCAAATCATGACTTCGACTCAAGTCAGACTTGAGTCACTATTTTTAGGACTTGAGACTTGGCTTGATAAAATGGACTAAGACTTGAGACTTAATTTGGACTTGAAGGTCAGTGATTTGGAACTTGACTTGGACTTGAGGCCTGTGACTTGAGAAGACTTGAGAAGCACTTTTCAATCTGAATTCTTTCTAGACCATAATGATTCACACTAAGCTCTTGTCAAGACATTTAAAAAGGAAGAATTTACATTTCTACAACTCTTATATACTCTATAAATACTCATATATAAATATACTATGACTTTTAAGTAAAATTTATCTTAAAAATCAGATAAATTGCAAAAATCTAAGCTCAAAGCAGATGACTTGGACTTGACTTGGACATATGGGCCAGTGACTCGAGACTCGACTTGGACTTGCCTGTATTTGACTTAAGATTTGACTCGAATTTGAGGTCAAAGACTTGAGACTTACTTGAGACTTGCAAAACAAGAACTTAATTATAATAATACACTTTATTTATAGGCACCTTTTGTGGCCCTCAAGGTCACCTTTCAGAGCAGATTAAAAACAGTTCATAAAATGCAGGACTGAGGGTTCAGGTGCAGTAGCGAATTGGAAAAGGTGAGTTTTCAGACAGACAATATTTAGCTGCCACCATCTATATTAAATATTATTGGCCAATAGAATGCTGTGATGTCGTCTGAAACCCAGAAATTTTGGGTTATAAATTGTTAGGATTATAAATTGTTATAAATTGTTAAGTGATATGGCTTTGTTTTCATCACTATGACACTCCAGGAGAGACTAAAAACATGGAGAGAACATAACTGTGACAATAAATTATGATTGAATACATTATGCAAACCAAATATATGACTGTAACATGTATCATCAAATTATTAAAGCTTTTGTTATGAGAATAATTACATTTGAAGTGTAGTTTTGCAGTGCATCTACCTAATGTGCAAAAAGTGCTATTGAATTTGTTGTTGTTTATTACTAATAACATTGCAATCTATCTCACATCCCTCATTATTTCACTTTTCATTCTTTTATTAATTGAACATGTGCTACTGGAACAAAGTGAATTTCGTGTATTTTCCTTTGAAACTGACTAAGTCTGTCATGATAACAAATTTTCAAACACGATATATTGCTATATAAAAGTATAACGATAAACAATCACATTTAATTCCTCTCACACAATAACAATAAAGCAGGATTATCCTTGTAAACCATTAGTATCATTAAAAGTCATGAGCTCCAACAACAAATAAAAAACAGAATGAAGTAATAATAATTAACCATAGAAGTGATTTACTCAACTCTGTGCAGGTCATATCTTATCATATTATAACAAAAATAACAAAAATCAAATCATTATTGCAAAGAAAATGTACAGACAAATATTAAGCCCAAAAATATTGTTATAATATTGTTCCAGCTTTCACGTATTGAACGATAAGGCAAGCCCATTATTATTGTGATAATTATGTGTTCTGGGCAATTTAAACTAACATCTGTAAGATTATTTGATGTTTTTTTTATTTTTTATACCCCTCACCTGGCCTTTGTTCAGGCTCACCTTTGTTCTCTGGTCTTCTTCAGTCAAAGAAGCTTCAAAGCTGGGGCACTGTCAGACAGAAGTAACACAGATAGCTTCTAGTGGTGATACGTGAGAGTACAACAGGAGCGAATCTAATTACAGATGGTAGCTTTAAGCAACATGACTGATGCTTTAATTGGTTATGAAAAGGCAGTTTTTCATTACTTTGACGTTTTAATGATCAAACACGTTATTATTATTATTATTATTTAGGTCTGCACCTTTCAGTATTAAAAAAAACAGCTTGACAGATTATAAAAAAATATTTCTTAAGACTAGAGTTATTTTTCAGACTGAATATTGTTTCATGATTAATTTGGGCCAAACACACAGTACTGTAGCCCTGGTGATGTCTTCCTGGCAGTGTTTACAGTCTCTTTCCTCTTCAGAAGAACTCCCTCACAGTGAAATGACAGCAGAATGAACCTCGGCGTCACAGAGGGCACATTGATTATTGTTGATTGTTTTCAGCCTCATTAGTGTCTGCACAGGCAATTGGCACTCACATGATTACAGTGCAGAGTCAGTGCAGGTTCCTGAAAGAAAATCATTTCCTGTAATGTTTGAGTAGTTAGCCTCACTGCAAAATGGGTTGTGGCATTGATTAAATTCCAAAATAACTAACTGTGTCATTTTGAGAAGATTATGTGCTAATTTTCAGACTGTACACAAAACCAGTTGACCTGGTGAGTCTATTATACCTGTGTGTGTGCATGTGTGTGTTTGTGTGTATGTTCATACTCTGCACATTGCCTTGAAATGAAAAACGTTTTAACAAATTGTGAAGAAACTGAAAAGCTAGCTAATTAGTCAGTCTGTTGCTTTGCATTTTGATTTTAATTGTGTGTCAAAATTCACAATAACACCATTCAAGGCCTTTTAACTTCATATGTGTAGTTTGGAACAGGTCTTATTAAAAATATAACATAGACTATCACATCTATGGTGTGATAGTCTTGTTCCACCAAATCAAGTGATAATTGGAGCAAAATAAAACCAAATGAAAACCTGTCATGTGCACTTAAAAGGAGTGGCAGCATTGGCAATCGGGAGACTTCCCAGTCAGCAGGCAGCCTCTGCGGACCTCTCAGGGCTGTGAGAGACTGGAGAGATGCGAGAGGAGCACACTCTCCGGAGGCCGCTCCCCTCTCCCATCTCTCCCGTCTGATACAGCTAATCTCTGCTGTGGTTCTGTGTGGAGCTGTCATCGCAGGCTGCAGAGCACTGCCACTCCCAAAACCTCAGAAAAGTTCTTCCAGCACACACTGCTATCTCAAGGCACTGTTAACTTCAACTAAACACTTCACGTGACCCTTTCAAAGTAAAACCATTTGTATTGATGAACAGCAGAATGACCCTATTATGGAAAGATATTAAACTGACTAACTGTGCAAAACAAAAAAGCTGTTCTGTCTAGAGCAACAGTGGATTTGTACGCATAAATAATGCTTTGAATTTAACATTTTACTTGAAATAAATTATTGAACATAAAAAGAATATTATAGGCCTATTGTTTGATGCATAGAATTAAATATACGCCAAGATGACTTGTAGCCTAAAAAGACCATTATTATTTCCATCAGGAATGGGTTTTTTTAGAAGTAATGTGTTAAAACAAGCCTGTTTCAGTGTCGACGATCAAGTATCAGAACATGTATGAAGCATAAAATCAACCAGAAAAGGACAAAAATATTACTATACATCCTTGTTTAAGATGTTTCTGCTCATATTATTTTTAATCTGTTTTGTTGTGTTTTTCATTTGTTTTATTAATAGATGATATACTTGATATTTCTTCCACTCTACCTCCACATCACTATCCTTCTTCTGTACATGAGCTGCCTAACCATGCATGGAAATCAATCCATCACATCTATTTACTACATGTTCTCAACACGCTACATAGCAGAAGTGCCTATGGTGTAATTTATGGCTTTGCTTTTTCGTAGTGCTACAACGTACATTTTAATTTGCTTCACAGAAATGTCACTAATTGAATTAATGATGGTTGCTTTTATTTAATCTGTCTCTATTAGGGCTGAGGTACTCTGAACATTTGCAGTGACAAGTCGATGTGAAGCCATTGGTTACACCTGCGATCAGACTGTGCACAAGCAAATAGTATTATTGATTTCTTGTCCCATACCCAGTCTATGGATATTAATTTTACTTTATTCTTTGAAAAACATGTCGATTTCTTGTGGCCATTTAACAAGACGTACAGCAAGTAGTGTGTAATGCCTCGAACCTCTAGAACATTTTCATACATACATTTGTACACCTTAAGGAATTTTACTTACAATACTCGGCATTTGCATTATGGGGTTATTTCTGATAATTTAAAGGTTTGCATCACAGTGGTCTTAATATAAACTAGTTGTCTATGACACACAAGTACACAAGTTATGTTTTATTTAGGAGTTTAGTCTGATTTTTACATATAAATACCAAAAAACTCTACAAATCTTTCAAACTTACTCACTATCTTCTCCTTTCTGCTGTTGTCCCATCAAAATGCTTACTTAAATGATACAGTAAGCCAATGCCAATTTTGGTTTGACTAAGACACCATCGACTGATTAATCGACTAAATGACTAAAGGTCTACATACAAAAAATTTATTATTATTATTGTTTTTGATGTTGTTGTTGTTAATAATAATGATCATAATAATCATAATAATAGTAGTAGTCGTAGTCGTAATAGTCGTTGTAGTTGTAGTGTATAGTGTTCTTCTTCTAGTTACTCATAGTATTCTTTTTTTTTTTTTTTTCCCAAAAAAAAATTTAATGCAAAACTCATTATTATTAACTTTCTTATGCAAAACATATCAATTTTAGTTGTGTTGTTTTAACATGTCTTACGTGACAGCTTGTATTGTGTATATCGGAATTGTAAAAATGCCAGAACAATTTATTTTAATTAGAGCCAACAAGTTGCAAGAAAGTGCACTTCTACCTCCTGTAGTTACTTCTTCTGATCTATTGTCTAATTAACGTCTATGGGCCACGCTGAATGAAACCAAAATGAAAATGCCGAAACAGCAGCCCTCAAGCTTATACAATAAACCAAGTGGGCATATACACACAGCACCATAACATTAGCAATAAATAAGGATTAATTAACCATCAGACTCAAGTAATTCAATGTGATAAAGAATTGATCGCAGCAAAGAGCATTGGTTGAATCAAAGCCTGATTCACTATATTGAGAGTCCACAAAATTAGTACTAATGATAAAATGTAAATGTGGAACTTTTCAGGTCTCGTCTCTGAACAGATTTTATTCATTTGCCTGCAGTTTCACAGTATGCCATTAAAGTTTCACAGGTCATATTTTAGAGTAAGAATACCAGTGTGTTCTTGTAATTAAACACATGGAAGAGGGATGAGTGTAATGTCATTCAGTGTTACTCTCCAAGAAAAGCAGTAACATCTCAATGGAGACAAGATGATGGCAGGACCTATAGAAGTAAACTTACATAGTGCATCTTTAAACAATGAAAAGACCATGTATTTTCTTGGTGTAATATAATTCTTTCTTTTTCCATATTTCCAAAACCAGGCATTATATCACAGCTGTAAGTTAATGTTTCGCCGGCTCTCTCCCAAACAAAGCAAAACAATGCTGTAATCAACAATGAATCCACATTTAAATGTTGAAAGCAGGATCATTCTGAAATGTGTTTTATGGAAATGAACTCCCTGGCCCCTGCACAACCAATGGCAGAGGAGAAGGCTATTTAGCATCTCATTTACATTTAGCAGAGAAATCAGCTAATTAATCATGCAGCTATTGCCAATCTCGTCAGTGCTGAGTTTGTGGTCCTTTAGCTGAACCCGCGTATCCATAGCTCACAAACCTGGGATTTTAGGATTAAGGTATCAGATGAGGTCAATAATGGGGATTATACAACTACTCAGGAGGAATATACTGTAACAAAGAAAACTACAAACTATCTAGGCCAAAATGGATTATATAAGATAGTTTTTTTTTTTTTTTTTTGGTTTTTTAGGGTTAGGGGTTTGATCTCACAGTTCAAACTCTCAACAGATACCTTAGAAGGCTTTAATCTTTACAATTAAACAGATTACAGCCCAACAAAACAAGATTATTGACATACGATTGGACAATTCCTTTACATTGGTTTATTTCAAAATGAGAATGTCAATATTATTTGCTTAATCAATGAGAATTATTTAGCTCACCCTATAAATGTAAGAAATAAGAAATACAATTTTAAAGCTAAATGAATGGTTATCTAATATGTGAAAAATAAATTAAGGATTTGCACTGGTTTTGGTCATGGTGTCAATAATTGTGAATAATCATAAAATGTCAATCACACAATGAATTTCTCTAAAAAACTGGATATCAAGACATTTTGAAGTGCCTACACACACACATAGAAAAGCTGTTTTGTATGGTTGGCACTGACTGAACCCAATTATCTGTTACCACCGTAATGTCTTTTCTGTCTTTTCTTTCATCCACAGAGCACAAGTGTTCTTTCCTTCAGTCCTATCCAACTTGTGTTGTATTTGTGCACAGGGGCATTGAGTGGGTGAGCCTGACCAGTTTCCTGTCCTTTGCCACTTCTGCCCCGAACAACATGGGTCTGGTGCGAAACGAGCTGCAGCATGTCGATCTGCCCACAGGTGAGTCCATTCACTATTGGCTTCACCCCAGGGAGCGCACACATAGTTTTCTATGCGATTCTTTGCATTTTCAACAGCGTTTAGAAGAGAGCAGTCTCAAAACATTGCCTTTTTGTTTTCTTAAAAGTCTGTTTATCGTTTTGCTCGAGGGTGTAGTTTCACACTCCACTAAAATATCGGTGCGAGCAAAACTGAAAGAATTCTCCAACTGAATTGCCTGAACAGCTACGTGATTTGAGTGGTTTGGAATTGGCTGATATATATTCTTTTTAAAAAACAGACATGCTCCCAACCTTTCATGGTCCTTACTATTGTGGCTCATTGATAAGTAAGCCCTGTGTTTTGTCTCATTAAATACCCCATTTTCTCCGAGCCCAACTACTCTTCTGAACTTGCCTACTACTACTACTACTACTACTACTACTACTACTACTACTACTACTACTACTACTACTACTACTACTACTACTACTGCTACTGCTCCTATCTCTGTTCTGATCTATATTGCAACACTGCTCACTCGAGTGCCTATATTATTTGAAATACTGTGTCAAAAATTGATGTATTTTTGTAGGCAGGTCAGGAATCGGAATACACTAGACCAGGGGTGTCCAAACTTTTTTCATCAAGGGCCACATATCTAAAGACAGACAAAGCAGAGGGCCGATCGACGGCCGTAGACTTGAGCTCAATACAGTGAATAATTAAAATATGTGCATGTTTAACACGTTAGAATGAATAAAGATTAATGGCTCATTCTAAGATCCTTAAAACCACACACTAAATATTAAATATGTGCTTTCTCCAGGTAGATTTTCAAAAAAAACTTGCAAAACTTAATTTTTAATTGATGCAGGTAATTTGGGCCAATTCACCTGGAAGCCTGAGGGCCAAGAAAGATTTGTCTGAGGGCCGCATTTGGCCCTCGGGCCATAGTTTGGACATGCCTGCACTAGACAGTTTGCAAAAAGTTGTAGACTCTGTACTAGCCAATCAGTCAAGAGCTGTGAAGCCATGACGTCAAGCTCTAGCAGCTGTCTGGGTCCCTTTTGTGGTACAGCACAACAGCAAACAAAGCGATCCAGATGGATGTAGACGAAGCCATACATTCTGTGTTGGCAATGATTCCCGAGATCGAGGATTTAAAGCCGGAACAAAGAGAATGTTTGGTGAATTTTAGGGGGAAAGACGTTATTGCCTTTCTTCCTGCGGGATTTGGCGCATTACATACATCACGACCAAATAGCAGCGATTATTTAAATAAAAAAAGTACCCACCTATCATCGAGTGAATGAATCTTAATGCTGCAAGGTCAGACGGTTTCCACAAACTGAAACCAGCTGATGAATCAGGCTAGTATTTGAGAGACATGACATTAAAATTCCCAACGCTGTTTTGGTTGAGGGCATAACAGAGGCAGTAGAGGATAATTATTTCTGAACCAGAGTCTGAATTTGATAGCACGCTTGTAGTTGAGTTCATGAGTGGTGCCGCATTGGAAGCATCACGTCCAATATTACCCTGCATTTTTGTTACTGCTGAAAAAACAGACACATTTTGCATTTCTGAGCTTTCTACTGTCTGTAATAATAATAAAGTTTGTCATTTTATGCACTTTTGACTTATTTTCATAGTACTTAAAATGTGCTGTGAACAAAAAGTGATAGTCCATGTTGATGACTCATGATTTCCATTGCCAGTTTCACAGCATTAAATGGTCTGTAGAAGATTACATTTTTTCTCTAAAGATAAATTGTCTTTTCATCATAATTGAACGGTAACATCTGCTAAATCTGGAAAGAAGCTGAGACTATGAAGTATAATCTATTAATTTGATTAGCATTTTCTCAAGTAGTAACTAATACTACCTTGTTTCATCCAATCAGGCATATTGTTACTAAGAATCATGGGGATCCAACTGCCTGACATTATCCCAGACACTTCATTCTTTGTCATGGTGCATTTTCAAGAGTGACACACACAAAAAAAAAAGCAAATAGCTGGCAGGGACTAGAGTTCAAAAACTACAACATGTTCCTGATGGATTGACACCAGGTACAAGGCCTTTAAAAACCCTAAATGTTCACTTTTACACACGCATTTTGAAGGTAGCAAGTTGCTGAGAAAGTTTTTGCGGTAGCCTTGTTCCCGAACGATTTGATAAAACTTTGGTGGCTTGTCTTTGTGTTTCTTTTGTAACTTTTGGGAAATCTGATCTTTTTGTGTCTGATAAAAAGTTTGGACGAAAACATCAATAACAATTTAATTTGAGTGAGTGCAGAGACAGTACAATAGATCTGGGATGGGTTTCCTCTAGCAGAAGCATAACAGGCTTTCACACTTGGCTTACTGACCTCTGTGGAGGACAAGGTATCGAGTTTTATATGTCAAACAGTCTACAGGACATGTAAAGACAGCAACAACAACAGCAACAGAGGCAAATGTAACACAACTCATTATATAGAAACACAAGAACAATTTATTTGGAGGTAGACCAACAATCTCTGAATATTGAACTGTAATTTGTTACACATGGTGACACATTTGACTTTTCAACAACCTTTCACAGTGAAGTTTGAGCTTTCAGAAGAAGAAAACTTTAGTCACCTATTACAGACAGCATAGCCATTGTAATCAAAATTGTGATTCAAGAAGACTGTGCTGTTTTTTCAAATATGTAGGTGACTGACAGTATCACTGTTGGCTTTTTAATAATACATTTTATTTATATGGTGCTTTTCATGACACCCAGACGCCTTACAAAACAAATATTGAAACAGTCAAAGGAGCAATGTACAACTAATACAGAACAGATAAAAACAGTGAAGACCGAATAAGACAAGAATGCAGTTGGATGATACAGTCTTTGAATAGTTGCTGCCTCGACAATAGCAGCTGGTGGATGAATATTCTCCCTCATAAATTTGGAGCTCTTTTCTGTACAGCAGCAGAGCCGAGGTACGTGTGAGGAGTGAAAATGACTCCCGTTTGGCATAGCCTCAAACACAGTATAAATATTGATCATGTTTACTGATGGTAATTGCACATTACTTATACATGCGTGACATGACAGGCACCATTACCGCACAACTTTTCCATAATCTACAATTAGCAGCCAACCTTAACACGTCTAACTTTGAAAAACTGCATCTTGCTGTCTTCTTGAAAATGTAGTTTGTAGTTAGTGATGACAACTAAATACACTACTTATCTCACAGTAATTTTTAGAGCTTGTATTTAAGAAAATCAAAAGTAATTAACTATTTTTTTCCTTCAAAATTATAGAAGCTCAAATTTTGTCTTTGCACTCTTTAAAGCTAGCAAATGTAAGTTTAAACTTTTTTTTTTTCCATAGTAGATGGCAGATGTAAAAACTGTTCCTTCTCCCCTTACCTAATCTTTATTTGTTCATTCTCACCTGTGCTCTCAGGTCTTCTTCTGTCAGACAGCAATAATCTAGATAGCATCTAGTGATACCTTATTTTTTGGATTATAAAGTGCACTGGATTATAAAGATCAATATCAATAATGTTGAATTCTCTTGTCTATTTTCATACATAAGGCACACCAGATTATAGGGTGCATTAAGAGAAACAAAACGGATAACAGACAGACAAGTCAAACTTTATTCAATTCATTCACCATAACTCTCAACATTGTTCATTTGGAACACATACACTCACTTTTTCAGTTCATTCTTCTATCACAAATCCATCAAATTCTTCATCTTCAGTGTCTGAGTTTAACAGTTGGGCGATTTCGGCATCAAGCCCGGGCCTCTCTCATCATTATCCGAGTCAGTCTCTGTCGCTGTTACTTAGCTGTTCAGTGATGACTCTGGCCTTCATGAAAGCTCGGACGACACTTGAGACTGAGACCTTAGCCCAGGCCTCCACGATCCACTGGCAGACCTCGACATAAGTTGCCCGGTGTTGCCTCTCTGTCTTCCTGAATGTGTATTACTCTGCAAGGCTCCTGATTACGGGGGCCATAATGCTCCAACAATTCATCAGTCTGGCTTCACAGCTTACTAAAGTCATTTTGAGAGATTTTCGAGTGGCGTGTACCACAAAAAATCGGTTCGAGGTCAGTGAGCAAAACCAGAATTAATACATAAGGCACACTGTCGATTTTTGAGAAGGATTTTAAATATAGTGCAAAAAGTACTGTGTGTGAGAATACAACAGTGCCGGGTCAGCCCGTCTAATTAAAAATGGCAGCTTTAAGTGCCACACTGTTTAATGGGTTTTTTAAATCAAGATATCTACAGCCAATCCTGTCACTAAAAGAATGCTTTTTGGAGCAGAGTTCAGACTTTGTAAGATTATTTTGTACTTTTTAAAGAGGCACTGATTAATAGGCCTGTCATGATAATTACTCTAGCTACGTTTTCTTAATTTTGTAGTATATGATTAGATTTGAGCTGTAGAGTCGAGAAACTGCCTTCTTTATAAATACTAACCAACTGCTAAGTGTTTCATTCTGCAGTTTGTTTATTGCTTAACTCATGTTTTTCAAATATATGCCTCATTTAGAAAAAGATTTACTGGTATTATCCTGCTTTAGGGATATTGTATCAGCAGCATAAAGTAGTTTAAACATTATTGTCTATTTTGATATTTTCTGAAGCAATATATTTCAATATAATCATGACTGTCTTACTGAGTACTGAGTCATCATCATGAGTTTCATTTCAAAGGACATTTTTATTTGTTTTTGAGATGTCATGATCAATCGATACAGGAACAAACTGTGACACATTTTATTGCCATATCTCCCAGCCCTAGATACAACTCTTCCACTGTGTGTACATAACTGCTTGAAAACTCAGAAGAGGACTTTACACAGAGGGCCTGAGCACAGTCTGTATTGTCTCTCTTGCTCTGTTTGTTCAAACTATCCTTCCTCACTCAGTACACATCACTTTTGTTTCCTCTCCACACTTTGAGGTCACCCTTGGCTCCTACGCTGCAGGCTCTTCTGTGTCTTGTACATTTTTAAACAGCCCCCTCCCCTTCCTGCTCCCAAAATCAGATCAGTGTTATATGCCACACCTGAAGGGCATTGTTGCTTAGTTTATACGGGCACCTTGATCCTCTGCATAATTCCTGTTTTAAATATATAGATACATAACAGGGGAGACATGGGGCTGTCCAGACGGTCTCAGGGCAGCTATCGAAAGTAAAATTACAAGAACAGAAGAAGTTGTTCAAGATGGTTCACTTAAAATGTATATTGCTAATTGGTTAAGTCATTCCGTTGTTTCCCAAAGACTGGATCATGACGCTCAGGTGGGTCGCAAGAGATTTGTTTTGGGGTCGCCTTGTCACAGTCTGCATGTAGGGCTACAGTATACATATAGATCTGACATCTCTGCGTACCACCTTGCGTAACAAATTTTCTGTGGGAAACACTGATTGCTGTTTTTCATTGTTCAGAGTGACACAATCACTCAAATATCCTCATTAATGTTCAATAATGGTCACATATTTTTTGATTTACGAATAATGTCTATTGACTTGGGTCACGAAGATTTGTGACTTTTAAAATTTGGGTCCCCAGAAAAAACTACCTGTGCATTTATTACATTTGTAGACAAGATCAGATTTTTTCACGATTTATTTGTTTATTTAATCAAATGAGAATTAAAGGTGAATTTAAGGTTCATTAAATGACTTTCCTGGTGAAGGCTACACCATCTGCTTGTCTTAATATAGATTACGGTTTGTAGACGGTTTCTCAGTATGACATTAAATTTATCAACACTGTATCTATGGAGACAAGCATGTACGATTTTCTTTTTCAATGCATTTGTTATCAGTAAAAACCCATGTAACTGAATCAATAAAAGATGGATAATTTTATTGGCATATTCCAGGTGAATCAATTATATCTGGACACAAGTAAGGTTTGCGGTAGTTAATTTACTCTTGTATACTGTGCTGTAACATTTGTGGTGCAGGTTGCATCACAACAAATTCCAGTAGTAGTGAATAGAAATTAAACAGTCTCTTATATGGTTCACAAACATTTTCATGATTAGACAAAATTCTCAAATATTAGCCTTGTCTGATCTCTAAATAAATCTTTCATAACCAAATTACCAAGCAGTGTTCTGGCTTTTTCATTTTTGACCTCTGAGTGGTAACAGCCACATTGCCCCAAAATGAAACCCATCTTTGGACTGTCATCTCACAATTGTCTTGTGTTTTCTCAGAGCATTGAATTTAATATGACAATCATGGACTGTGCTCTGTGTGATTGTGCGATCGGTTGCTATGGTTGGTAATTGCGGCCCTGTTTCAAATTGCAGTAATTGTTTTTTTCTTCTTGGAGTGGAGCCAAAGTGGTACAATCTGTCAAAGCCATTTCAGATTCAGGACCAAGCACAGAGACACTGCCACTGTCTGCTATTTCATTCTCTCCCGTCAGATCAGAAAGTGTCCATGGGGTAAGAAATAAATGGGGTTAGAAATATAAAGTAACTCTAGTATTTTATCCACACTTTTCTACCTCTCTTCTACCACTTTTCTACCCTTTTAATGGCGGTACATAATGTGAAAACTTTGAGAGACACTGTCCAATAGCATACTTCAGTATGAGTTCAGTAAAGGCACCGTAACGAAGGGCACACCATGTTTGAAATCATTTTAATCATGTTTTTTACCTGCAAGGTTTTTAATAGTTACAAATCGATGATACAAATTGTAGGAAACAAAATGATTAGACAATAACTCATAGAAAAAAATCACTGCTGTGCTGTACCAAGGGCATTCACTGCCAGCTCAGACCTTATCTTTACATTGTAAACTACACAGGGTTTCAGTGGTCATGGAAAAAAATGTGGAAAAGTCATGGAAATTGAAAATGTAATTTTCCAGGCCTGGAAAAGTCATGGAATTTTAGTATCTCTTTCACGCAACTACAGCATTCTGTTAATTTATCATTAGGCTATTATGATTATTTCTGAACATATGCGCCTTTTGTTTAAAGGAGATGACAATAAATGCACTGACAGTTTTTTGAATGTTAAAAAACTATAATATCAAACCATCAGGTGAGTGGAAATGGTTAACATTTCATATTTAGCCCTAAAAGTCTGATCAATTCTACACATGTAGGGTGCCGTAAAGTCATGGAAATTTCACTTTAGATCATGGAAAAGTCATGGAAAAATGTTGAAATTTAGTCAGTGAAAAAGAGTGGGAAGCTTGACTACATCATCAGAGGTAAATTGCTCCCTTCAATGAAAGCATAGCTGGATTAGACCAGACTGTGACCTGAGTAGACCAGACTATACCAGAACTGTCACAATGTCTTTAGGGTTCATATATCTCCGGTGCCGGGTCCTGTACCGATGGTAAATAAACTTCACCTCTTCTTCAGGAGATGGCATCCACTGATCCGAAGGCTGGCGGTACAAGGTTCAAGCTCCCACAAATGAATGCTGTTGTTGTGTCCTTGGGCAAAACATTTAACCCACCTCACCTCCAGTGTTTGTGTATATTAGTCTGCAAATGTGTGTGAATGTGTAATTGCCTTGAAGGTGGAAAAGAGCTATATAAAAATGTGACAATTTACCATTTAACATTCTTAAACTGTCTCTCTTCCAATAACTCTGCACTCTTTAAAAGCCTTTAGAAAATCTGTGCTTTGTTCATGTCTTTCAGTCATTCTTGTAGCTTCTCTGTAGTATAATAAAAAAAGAGCCAAAAATGTGTGTTAAGTGTCTTGCCCAAGGACACAACAAGCCATGGAGAGCAGCTTTTAAACTACCAGCACTATATATCGGCTCACAGGATAGGATAATGGCACTATACCTTCAGAATCACAGTTATATTACTTGTACTTGGCTCCTTCTTGTGCTGCTTCTTCTGATGTGGACTCCAGCTGAAGTATTTGACACTGCCCTTTTGCCAGACAGATGAAACAGCAGCAGCAGGAGTCAGACTCAAGTGAGATCGATCCTTTTGTACAGGTGTGAGTGCAGGATACATTTCTCATGTTTTCTCCTCTTTCTCTTTCTCTTTCTTTCTCTCACCCACCCCCTTTCTGACAATCCGCCACCCCTTTCTTTCACTCTTTTTCTTTCTTGTGCCTCTCTCTTATTCTCTCACACTCTCTCTCTCTCTGGCTGTCTCGTGACTCCCTCTCTCTCTCTCTTTCTTTCGCTCTCTCTCTGTGTGTGTCTTGTGACTCCCTCCCTCTTTCTTTTCTGCTTTCTCTCTCTGTGTCTCTCTCTCACCGTCTCTCTCTCTCTCTCTCACGTCTCGCTCTCTCTCTCACGTCTCTCTCTCTTTCTCCGTCTCTCGCTCTCTCTCACCATCTGTTTGTCTCTCTCACTCTGTTTGTCTCTGTCTCTCTCTCTTTCTCTGTGTGTGTGTCTTGTGACTCCCTCTCTCTCTCTCTTTCTTTTTTGCTCTCGCTCTGTGTCTCATTTCTCCCTTTCTCTCTCTCACTCGTTGTTTGTTTCTCTCTCTCTCTCTCTCTCTCTCTCTGTTTGTGTCTTCTGACTCTCTCTCACTCTCTGTTTGTCTCTCTCTCTCTCGTGACTCCCTCTCTCTCTTTCTCTCTCTCACTCACTGTCTCTCTCTCTGACTGTCTCATGACTCCCTCTCTCTCTTTCTCTCTCTCACTCACTGTCTCTCTCTCTCTGACTGTCTCGTGACTCCCTCTCTCTCTCTTTCTTTCACTCTCTCTCTGTGTGTGTCTTGTGACTCCCTCTCTCTCTCACTCTGTTTGTCTCTCTCTCTGTCTCTCTGTGTGTGTCTTGTGACTCCCTCTCTCTTTCTTTTCTGCTTTCTCTCTCTGTGTCTTTCTCTCACCGTGTCTCTCTCTCTCACGTCTCTCTCTCTTTCTCCGTCTCTCGCTCTCTCTCACCACCTGTTTGTCTCTCTCTCACTCTCCTCTCTCTCACTCTGTTTGTCTCTGTCTCTCTCTCTCTCTCTGTGTGTGTCTTGTGACTCCCTCTCTCTCTCTTTCTTTTTTGCTCTCTCTCTGTGTCTCATTTCTCCCTTTCTCGTTGTTTGTTTCTCTCTCTCTCTCTCTCTTTCTGTTTGTATCTTGTGACTCTCTCTCACTCTCTGTTTGTCTCTCTCACTCTCTGTCTCTCTCTCTCTCGTGACTCCCTCTCTCTCTTTCTCTCTCTTACTCACTGTCTCTCTCTCTCTCTCTCTCGCTCTTGCTCTCTTATGACTCCCTCTCTCTCTCGCTCCCACGCTCGCTCTCTCTTGCTTTCTCTCTGTGTCTTGTTATTCCCTCGCTCTCCCTCTCATTTATTCATTCATTTCCTCTTTCTCTCTCAATCTCATTCTCTCTCTCATTCTTTCTCTCTTTCTTTCTCTTTCCTCCTTGCTCTAACTCTCACTCTCTCCCCCTCCCTCTGTCTCTTTACCTGTCTGTCTGTCTTTCTTTCTTTCATTGTCTCTACCTCTGTATGTATGTGTGTGTCTCTCTCTTTGGTCCTTTCTCTATCCCTGTCTCTCTTCCTCCCTCCCTCTTTCTCTTTACCTCTCTTTCTTACATTCGCATTTCTCGCTCTTTCTCTTTCATCCTTTCTCTCTTTCTCTCTCTCATTCTATCCCCCTTTCTCTCTCTCCCTCGTTTCTTCCTCACTCTGTCTAACTCTCACTGTCTGTCTTTACCTCTGTCCCCCTCCCTTCCGCCTCGTCTCCCCGTCCCTCTCTCCGTCTGTGTTTCCAGGCAGGTGTTTTGCTTTCCGAGGAGAGCGAGGCAATGACGAGCCCCCCATCGAGATGATTAAAGTGTCTCATCTCAAGTAAGTTACTTCCGCACCACCAACAAAAACAACATTTGCACTACTGTTTTGCCTGCTTTTTATCTAACAAAAACAAGGTACTTAACGCAGGTTCACGGAAAATTTACCTCCATAAGCAAACACAACAAACTCCATGCTCTGTAGTGTAATAAACCTTAAATTTAAATGTTAGGTAGAAAAATGTCACTTCATTGTTAAGAGTCTATAGAATAAACCTGTTTGAAGAGTATGCAAGTATTAAAACAAGGCCACCGATTTATTCACCTTTTATAAAAGCAGGAATTGTTAGTACATTACTTATTTTTACATTGTTCCCAAGTGAATTTAAAAGTCAACACTGTAATCGATGTAAAATATGTTTAATAAGATGAGTACGTTTAGTCAAACCTCACTTCTCTCAGTTCACTTTGTCGGACTATGTTGTATTTTTTTCTCTTCAATTCATGCGCACCAGTTCTGTTTTGATTTTAATGAGATATTGTTATAAGATCTGACAGGCACACATCTGCATGGCTGTCTTCACGTATAATTTTATTCATGCTGTGCACATTTATTCAATCTCATCAACAGTTTTTCAGAATTAAATTACACGTTATTTGATTGTTTGTCGTTTTGGCGACAGGCTAATTATCTGACTTTGTGCGGCAGTTTGGTTTCATGATGTTTTTTAATTGTATCCTAGTGGTGTTGTCACAATAGAAAACATGATACTAAGGAAAAAGGTTTTATACTTGTTTTTATTTTGTACTGTTTATAATATCAGCACTCCTTTTTTTAATATACAATGGAATGTTATTTCCAACACTAAATAATAGTACTTTCTTTAAAACAACCATCTGGTCTTTTTTTCTATTTATCCAAGCAAAATTTGTCTTGTTTTAGCTCAGATATTTTGTATAAGCAGCTCTTGAGGACAAAGTAAGTCCGCTGCCTGCTGTCTGAATCAAATTATGAAGTGCTTTATTGTCTGATAATCAGGAGGTGCGTGTTAGTATGCGGATTGTTTTTGGAGTTACAGTGACAGCTTCTGAAAGTTGTGAAAAGTGCTTTTAAACTAATAATAATATTTAGGATGTTCTGAATATGTATGGTAAGTGAGGAATAACTTTGGAACTCTGCAAAAGTTTTAAAAAGGAACTAGTTCTGTATTTCGTGTTTTTAAGACCGGTACAGTACCTTTAAATTTTCAGGAAATGTCAGACTTTGTCCTATTCATCTTTGTTTTGTTTTATTTTTTCTCTTTTTGTTCTGGTTGCCCACTTAAAAAGAATAATACTGCTCTTATTGTAGTAAACTGAAGTTGTTTACATGCTAAATAACTCTAAACATCAGGCTCCATTTTGTACCTTTTCTCCCTGTGGTGCTTCTGGAGGTTGGAGATTTCTACTCTGAATCGTGCTGCGCTGTGAGCCAGGGAGCTTGTTAAGACTGGATTTCCTGCCAATTTCCACCTCACGGCTGGTTACATCATTCAAACTGGCCACAGGTCCATGCTGTGAAATGCACTGGCTCTTTCTAGAACAATGGGCAGACCCAGACACAAGAGACATGCTTTCAGAATGCATTTTTTACGGTTTTGTTGTCGTATTACAAGGTCTAATCGCACAAGTGCCCATGCAACAGCTGAGTAGTTTAATTCCAACAGTGATAGAAGTTACTACACAGTCCCAGCACATAAAATGATAAAATGATTAAAAGAAATGCTATTATGGATTTCATCAACCTTCTATTTTACAGCTGTAGATTTGAATTGACTATAGACTATATAAAGTAGTTCCAAATTAGGAATTGTAATGGATTTACGGATAAACTAGTGAAATAAAAACACCAGGATCATGTAGAGTGGGTTAATACGAACATTTTAAGACCAAAATGACGAGTTTGAAAACAGCAATTACGGAGGGAATTAGAGGTTTTTCAACACAAAGTGAATTTGAACCAGAGCCGAAACAGTGTAAGTGCTTGTGTTGTATTGTAAGGGCCTTGTATTGATTAAGTTGTTTTGTTTCTCGATCTTTAGACAGTACCTGGTGGTGGTGTTCAGGGACAAGCCTCTGGAGCTGTGGGACATCCGTACTGGGACACTTCTGAGGGAGATGGCCAAGAACTTCCCCACTGTCACTGCACTGGTAAAATCAATTCATTAATTAATCCAATCAACAAATGTAATCATTATTTATCCCCGAGCGACAACTTTAAGGGAAGGGGTTCGATACCATGGAGATGTTTTTTGACACAGTTTTTTTTTTTGCATTCACTCCGTTGCAAGTTTTTTATTGCTCAGAAAAACCTAAAAAATAATTCAATTAAATCTCCATGGAGACGAGATGATAGCGGGCCCTCCACTGGAAATGTTACATAACTTTAAGCTCATTGAGAAGTTAAAATCCAAGGTTAAATAGAAGAATACATGCGCTAATTCATTTCAACTTGATTTCCAGCATATTAACAGTCAAATTTCCTTCACTGGTTAGTTTTAGTTTTGTTTATTATTTAGCTTTTAAATTCACACAAACTACTATTGCTTTGTATTAATCTAATTTATACCATACTTTGATTTATTTCGATTACATTCAAGTTATGTTTCCAGTTATACTACGTAAAATGCCAAGGCTAAAGTCTCCAAAGTAGTTTAAAGTCAGAGTAATCCTTAGAATATACCCATAGGCTGTATAACTTTATAAAGTATTATATTACCATTTTCAGTTTGTCTACATGTTACTGTCCTTGGAGTTATTTTGACAAATCGTTCCCTTCAAGTAATAAATGTATGTTGAAGACGGCCATTACAGATAGAGCAAAGGTTCTTGTAGTTTTGCATCACATCAGCAGTTACCATATCCATTTGACCAAACTATCTGTTAGGGCCATAATGACACGCTCCGTTTGCTTTCTCATTCTAATGCCCTATTGCACTTTTTGACACTTCCGCTGCATGTGTTTGTGTACTGTAGGCAATTTGAAAGATTAGTCCTTAAATTTCTCCAAGCTCAGCACATTAGAACGCAGGCAGCTTCATTAGGCCAAAGAAACGCTCATAAAAGAAGACTTACGCTGGACCAACTTTACTGTACGCCGTAAAATACCCCTCCAGTGTGAATAAATCTGGCAATAACCTTAATAATACATGCTGAACTTCCACACACCCGTATTGTTGTCTTATTTCCATATTGATTTCAATCTCAAGTCTCGCTACAGCTCATACAATAATGTACGGAGCGCTGGGAAATGGCTCTCCTTTGTGGACCTCTGGCATTTACTATATGCACTACAGGTTTTATCTACTCAAGTCTATACCCAATAAGCAATACTTGTTCTGTCTTAAAGGCTTGATACAAGAGAGGGTGACTATAATCCAGGCTTATCATATTTAGTTATAGCACCTTTCTTTTCCGAAGCGGCTCGACTCATGTTTTTGGTGATATATAAATGCAGTAATAAACAATAAATACATTTTAAACAACACACAATACGAAGTAAATGCACTTTTGTTTTTTGCTTTTCATATGATTGTGGGAATTTATTATGTTTATGGGTTTATTACATTTAAAACTGACAACATTTCACTGACAGGACATAGGGTTAGCTGTTACACAAGGGTGAGTTGTATGTTGTTGTACAGTTGTATGGAGTAGTGCTCATTCGCTATCCTAAGCAGACTGTTGTTTTTATTTATTTTGTAATCAATAAATTCACCCCATCTCCTCTTTTTCACGTTTTTGCTGATTTGAGTGTGTTATATAACGATGTTTGTCCATCTGTTAAACAGGAGTGGTCCCCTTCCCATAACCTGAAAAGTCTGAAGAAGAAACAGATGGCAGCAAGAGAGGCCATGGCCCGACAGACAGTGTCTGACGCAGAGCAAACCAGTGTGGAGTCTTCAGTCATCAGGTCAGCACAAGGATTTACCAGTTTTTCAACCATTTAAAGCCAAATCCACTTTATTTAAAACCAGATTTTATAAACAAAATGGATTTTATAAACAAAATGATTTTACAGTGGGCAGCAGTAGCTCAGTTGGTCTCCGATCATTGGTGAGTGGTCAGATCCACTGACCCACAGGTTAGCTTGTGTGATTCCTGCTCCCACAGATAAATGCTATTGTCCTTGGGCAAGACACTTAACCCACCTCGCCCCCAGTGTCTGCGTACACTGGTGTGTGAATGTGTGTGTGAACGGGTGAGTGGTTTCTTGTTGTAAAACGCTTCGAGTGCCTTGAAGGTGGAAAAGTGCTATATAAAAACCATTTACCATTTACAACGTACTGCAAAGCAACACAAAACTACTAAAAGTATAGAAACAAAACCATAAAAATAAAATCCTCAACTGACTTTAAGTGTGTATAATTTTTATTTTTTTTTTTAGAGCTTTACAATATTTAACTTTTATTTTATCATTATAACCACATTGTGCTTTGATTCAGTTACAGTTGTCCAAGTAATCTTTGTTTCCTATGACAGAGCTTTTCTGTGAGCTCTACTTACATTTGTATTTCATTATGAGTTCTACACAAAAGAAAAATATAGTTTCAGTTCCTACTTTTAAAACTATTATAATTGGGGTTAAAAACTGCCCCATCTGTATCTAAGTCCACTGTCTTATTTGTGTGGTAATTGTCTTGTGCAGCCTCCTCCAGGACGCGGAGAGTAAGTCTGAGACGAGTCAGGCCATCTCCGCCCGAGAGCACTTTGTGTTCACAGACACAGATGGACAGGTTTACCACATCACAGTTGAGGGAAACACGGTCAAAGATGGAGCACGGATACCCCCCGATGTGAGTACGAACATGACACTTTAGTAAGGCTGTAACCATCAATTGTGACGAGTCAACAAAAAATAATAATCATAGTTGTATTTTGATAATCGTAATCATTATCAGGATTGTACAGACTCCAAAACACATACTAAATTACTTGGCATTCTTAACTCAAAATGTCAAGAAAGAATAAACACTTCCTAATTTACATAAATAATGCACAATATTCATAAATAGTTTTTACAGAAGCATGTCACAATATTTCAACCTTTATTTGGTTAAAATTGTATTATAAAAAGTGTCAGTGTACAACAGAAATAATCGCTTGACGAGTTTACTAATCTCAAAAATAAATACTTCTCTTGTATTCATACATCTGTATTTTTCTGCCGTATTTGTAGGCTTGTCACTATAACAAACTTAAACAAATGTGTTATATCGCTAAAGAAAATGTCACAATAAATGATGATATTGAAACAATGTTGTGCCACTGACACAATAACCCTAAAGCAGGAACCATTTTCTACATGTACAATATCATAAAAAATACTAAAGTTAGGTAGTATTTATAGTAAGTTAAAGCTACTTATTGCAAACTTTACAGGTCATATCCAATTATTCTATGATAAATACCAAAAAAGAAACAATACACACATTTTAAATTGTGTACTTGTCCTGCAATGTTATTTAATTTGTGGTCCTACAACCATTAATGTGCCCAGAAATCTTTTAATCAGTTAATTTAGTGATTTAATCAGTCAACTAACCCAACTTGGTATATTTTTCTCCAGGCAAATACTTGTTAAAAGTTATAAGAGTCATTGATGAGCTCTGTATTTATTTTATACAGTGCTGTATGTTTGAAAAGTCAGGCCTTGCTCACCTTTGAACTGTGTAGGCTGTAAATGCACCACTCTGATGAAAACAGACAATTCCTTTACAATACTACGAGTTTATGTTTCCAGATTTCACTTCAGTCTGTAATCTCTCAGTGAGATCCAACTGAAATTCCATCTGGATGCGTATTGTGTTTCTTTGTTAAACAGTGGGGGATTCTGAGAGTTGGTGCATGCAGTGCTTGTATTACAGCACATGGGCAAAGATACCAAAGTAAAATCCACACACAATAAGTCCAGTCTTACCCATATCCAAGTCTCACAGAAGCTAGCAGCAGGATTTCATTTAAGATAAAGGTATGTGGTTAAACTGTATAACCAAAAGTATCCAGAACCAGAATTACTTTTCTGAAATTCTGAGAAGGGTTCCAAAAGTTTTTGACTTCAATTGCATGTAAAAGATGTTTTATGATCGGAGAATCACTACAAAACTAATCAAAACTAAAACTAGTATCAAAGTAGATGTTAGTAAAGGTTTTATTAATCCATTGTGAAGGAAATTTGTTCTCTGCATTTGACCCATTCTTCAAGCAGTGCTGCTGGGGAACCTGTCAGGAGCAGTGAGCTGCTGCAGTCCAGCGCTCAGGGACCCAACTCCAGACCTTGTGTTTAACTCATTTGAGCAAGTATCGATTCTGACAAAAAAGCAAAACACACCTTAAGAAAACCTTGTGTGAAAAGTTTAGAATGGTCTTAAATTAAGACCATTCTAAACTTTTGGATTAAGACTCTTAATCCAGTATATCAGAACTGAAAACAAAGAGAAAACTACTATTAAATTGTGTGGTTGACACTGAAGACTTTTTTTCCACTGTGGTCTTAAAATCCGTATAGAGCCTTTTCCTAAGTATTGTAATCGAGTTTGAAAATTGTGTATCGCATTAATGCTGCCGGGCATAAATGAGTAGTTTTAGCATTTTAGATTAATTTCTAGTTAATGAGTAGAATATTTTGTCTGAACAAATACATTTAAATCCGGATTGGCTGACTATATCCTAAAAATGTGTCTAGTGAGTCCCAGCTATCAGTAGCATTTTTCTTTTGCCTGTGTTTACCCAAAGTGATGTTTGTTTACCCAGTGCAACACAATATTTTCTGCCCAATGCACCACAAACGGTGTGTTATTATGTACCACAACTTCTGGCTTCAGCTTTAGTCGAGTTTATCTTTTCAGAACTTGTTCGAAATTGTTCCCCTTCTGAGCCACGATGTGCAAACTTTCTACAGGGTGCTACGAGGAGAATAGCCGGATATTATTTCCTGTCACTTATATTTATCTACTACTGTAACTTATTTCCAGTTGCCAAAACTGTTGACATTGTTGGACATTAGATTGTCAGGAAGAGGAAAGCTACTGTCAAATATCTGATTTGGGAGTCCATTTGTGAGTTACTGTCTATCTTTTCACTCCGTGTTTCGCCTTTATTGAAATGCCACACAGTCTCTGGATGTTCGCCCAAGAATTTATACCACCTTATCACCACGTCGGGTGTTGTAGATTCATTGCTAGAAGATTTGCATAGCCCCAAGGTTTTATGGTGCTTTCAAGATGATGGAGCATCTTCATCTTGCTGTCAAGAAACTGATTGAAACTCCCTTAAAAAGTTTTGTCCCATCAACTTTAATCCAGCCTTAATATAGATTCTCAGATACTTAATGCGATAGTGCAGTCTCCTGTCAGGGGCCCACTCGGAGCGTTCAGACTTGTTTACGCCTGTCACCACCATGTTTTCTTTCATTTTCATCATCAGTTTTATTCTTACTTAGTACTGCTTCATACGTTCACAGAGCAGATGGTGTTTTATACAAAGTGTGTATTTTCCTCAGATTGCTGCTCAAATTGTACACACAACTATTCTATTGAGAAAGCAGAGTTTTTATGATCTTGTCAGTATGGCAAAATTGATTGGAACAGATTATTATTAAGTCTACCATGAGTATTCATGAGTGGGATTGTATTTCTTTGTATGAATTTAGAGTAGTACAACCCCAATGAAAACAAAATGTCAACATTGAAGCTACAAGTTTAGTGTCTTTTAATGTATTCAAAGACACTAATGTAATCTATTTTTATCTATTTAGGACAGAGCACATTAATAAACAATCGTGACAGACCATGATAATGTTTTCAAAGGTAATGTATTTATAGAAATACGGTACTTTTAAGACTTCTCAATTCAAAAGTGTATGACCAAAAGTAAAAGTGAAAGCAAGAAAATAAATAAGATTGTACATGCTACTAGCCTCATCTGTCCATAGGTTTCAGAGTGATGAAAAAAACTTTCAAAATACATCAAAATAATGGTGAAGAGTCCTCAACATGTCTGTAAAGAGGAACCCGAAACCCATGAATACTTTCTCACCAACTTTGTCTCCCTGAAATGGCAGTTGAAGTTGATATCTCATTAGTTGTCTGTCTAATGTCACTTCTCACTTCTTCCATAAGTTGAATATTGAGAATAATATTGTGTAAACAACACAGTCCCCCCTCTCCCAAGTCTGTAATGAGTTTTCAAAGTGACATTTTTCTTTTCCGTTTGAGTGATTTTCATTTTACAGCCATCCAACTCAAAATCCAATACCAACATTTGTACAGCGGGTGAGAAATAGTGCTTTGTGTTGTATTGATTGTCAGATTCATAGTTTGCAGTCTGTGCCTCCACATCGTAATCACACATTCAAGTAGCACCGACACTGAGCTTATTGATGACTTTTTCAGAGTCATGAGAAAGCAGGACCATTGCTATAACGATTAACAATTAAAAATATTATGTGTTTTGAATGTGAAAAAGTCCTCAACATTTTTCTTTTAACAGTAAGCTGAAGTCCATGAATAGGTCTTCTCTTTATATTTTCTTTATTTTACATTCTCAAATATGGCCTGTTCTGCTGTTACAGGGAAGTATGGGGAGCATCGCCTGCATCGCCTGGAAAGGAGACACTCTGGTGCTTGGAGACGTGGACGGCAATCTCAATTTCTGGGACCTTAAAGCACGTTTGTCAAGGTACGTTTTTATGCTCACGTTATTATTCATACTTTGCAACTGATGTCCTCAACATTCCTTGGGGGTGTGACGCTAAAGTTAGACGTTAATTTGAGATTTATGTTAACACAATCTGACCAAAGAGAACTGACTCAGCTGGAAATACGACAGGTGAGCTGATTTGTGGTGGTAAACAAGTCCCTCTCAAATAAAATTACTCTCACAAGCTAGTTTGCATGTTTCAACTAGTCACTCTCACCTTTGTAGTTAAAAAAGAAACACCTAAACAAGACTGTGAACACATATTGATCACAAACTCCTGAAAATGTGTCACTAGTTTGCTTCACTCGTCAAAAATGACAGATGTATTAAAGTTTAAATAAAGTTAGTTCTGTGTACTAATTGTAAAACAAAAGTATTATTCTCACTTATTTGGATATGGGAGCAAAAGTTAGTAATCATAGTTTTCTCCATTAACAAGAAACTCTGCTTTACTGATAGATTTACTTTAGTTCCAGTTCTGCTTAAACATATTCAGAGTTAAGTATTGGGGAATTTCCAGTTTGAGTTTTTAATTATTCTTCGCTTTGGCAGCCGTCCTAGTTTCTCATCATCTGAAAGTAGATTATCATTTTTAATTTACCCTGTTTGACATTAGGGGCATACCAACGCACAGAGGATGGGTGAAGAAGATCCGCTTTGCTCCGGGGAAAGGCAACCAGAAGCTGCTGGTGATGTACACAGACGGAGCGGAGGTCTGGGACACCAAAGAGGTAAAACTACAGTACACAGGGCTTTGGAGTCACATACAGAGAGGCTACATCCACACAGTGAATCCTCTTTGTGCATCGCTTTTTTAGACACCATAACTGAACTGGGAGCCTCTGTAACAGGCTACTACGGATTTATTTTGGCAGAATGGATGTTTTTTTTCTGCAACTTCTCACTAGGGATGTAACAATAATTTGGGTTTGTCAAGATACCAACCAAAAATAGCTGTACCTTTTGCCTTTGTCTATGTTTCAGAGAACTATGATTTGACTTTCATTGTCACTGGGAGGGCCAAGCACTAAAAACACTAGATATTTTATACGTCTTATTGTATTAAAAATGGAACAGCTTTTTACGTGAATCAGATGCAGTCCCTTTTAACCTTGGAAAGTAATTTAAAACAGTAGCTCTCAAACTTCACAGCAAGTAAAGGATTAAAGAAAGGATTTGGCTTTCTGTGTATGACCAAGTATTTAACAGGACTAATCTAGGGCTAAACCAGGTCTAAAAGTGGACTACAACATCCACACTGTCGTTCTAAACAAGAAATTATTCAAATGAGGGCAAAAACTGGATAAAATGAACTCTAAATTAGGCAAACCTTAAGTGCAAACCCTCTTCTGCTTTTATTTCACAAGGGATGTAACAATAACCGGAATATTCTGAAATCTTATCGTTAAGTCTCGCAGTAACATAGTGGGCCTTCATAATACAATCAAATTACAAGTCTCTTTGCTTAATTTCATTGTTGTGGTGCAGCAATAGCTAAAAAACAAAGGGATCTGCATAGGCCATGATCCTTTGCTATGCTTCATTGCAGACTACTATGAAGAAATGTTTTTGATTATGATAAAACCAAATGTTTGTCAAGTAACATATTCACAATTTGGTTAGCCTCCACAATATATTGCAATAAATATCGTACCATGAGATCCATATCATGAAAACAAGTATTGAGATTTGGATTTCTTTTCATCCCTATAAATCACTGGGGATTTGAATCACCATTTGAGAAGTGTTATTTTTAAACTAATATCACAATGACATTAAATTATTATATACTCCATACTGCCATATGAGGAAATATGCAGATAGATAAGAACACCCATATGAGGTAAAGAAATATATGACTACTGCGTTCTGAGTTTATTATAATAGATACAGAAAGGCAATATTTATATGCCAATAATATACTGCCTGTCAGCCTGTACCCGATTCTTTCCCATTTATTTGAGCAAAATGTGTCTTACTTACCCCAGTACAGATATTTTATATATTATATAAGCAGCTCTTGAGGTCGAGATATGTCTGCTGTGTGCTGTCTGCGTCTAATTATAAGTCAGTTAATTAGGAAGCGCTCATTAGCTTCCTAGGTATTATTAGCTTTAGCATGATGGCAAAACTCTGGTGTTGGAGTGTTGTGAAAAGTGCTTAAAAACTAATTAGGATGTTCAGAATGCATAAGGTAAGTGAGGAATGGACCACGGCAAACCTTTTAAAACTAGTTCTGTTTTTAATATATTTAAGATGGCAAAATAGGTAGCCAGGCTGGCGCCACCTAGTGCTTCCGCTCAATTTTATTTCTCTCCAGCGACTAGGTCAGGAATCGGAATAACCCCAGAAGTGCGAGTTCGGGCACCTGGCAATCTGCAAAGAGCTATACATTCTGTGTTTGGCAATGATTCCCAAGATTAAAGCTGGAACAAAGAGAATGTATGGTGAATTTTATTAAGGGAAAAGACGTTATTGTCCTTCTTCCTACGGGATTTGGGAAAAGCGTAATATACCAGTTAGCCCCCCCTTAGTGGTGCATTACATACATCACGACCAAATAGCAGCGTTTGGTTAAATATAAAAAGTACCCACCTACCATTGGGTGAACGAATCCTAATCCTAAAAGGTCAGACGGTTTCTACAAAGTGAAACCGGCTGATGAATCGGGCTAAAAATCAGATACACTATCTTTCATTTTTTTGGTCATATCTAATTATGATTTTTCTTTAAATCTAATGTGTAAGTGCCTTTGCCTGTCGAGATGCAAACCAAAAATGTCTCTACCTTTTGCCTTTGCCCATGTTTCAAAGATCATGCTGATTTAAAGTAGACAAGAGTTGACTAGAGTTGATTATCCCTGGGAAAGCACTAACCACATGAAATATTTTATACGTCTTGATGCATTTTCTTGAATAAGTTGTGGTCATTCTGAAAAAAAGGAAAGCAATTTAAAGCTCTCAAACTTTCCACCAAGTACCACCAAAGAAAAGTTTTGGCTTTCTGAGAATGGCCAAAAGTGTTTAACAAGACTATGTCAGGTATAATCTAGGACTAAATAACATCATTTCATTGTAGTTCTAACCAAAAAATTATCTGAAGGATGCGAAAAGTGGATAAAATGAACTCTAAATTAACTCACATACTGAAACACTGATTTAAAAGATTACTACGGAGACTTAATCCATTTAAATTGTTTTAGATTACCATTTCTTACGTTTCCTCTGATTCATAATTTGATCACGTATTTTAAACCAGACTGTAATTTTTATATCCTTGATCTCAGCATCAGTGAAAATTTCAGTGCAGAGTAACATAAATTTGGACATGCATCAAGGTTTAGGACATTCTGGCACATTCGGCAAAGGGGTCCCGGTGGAGCACTAGCATCATGTTGCAGAGATGGATTCCTTCAGGGGACTCAAGATTAGATTTAGTTTTATTTTGTAATGGTTGAAGGTAGACAACAGATGTGTGGGTCTGCAGAGGACTGGGGCACAGGTTTAGCACAGAAACAGCGAGAGAGAAAGAGGTAAGAGAAGGGAGAAAACACAAGATGGAGCTCTGATATGCTCCACTGATCTGCTGACAACTGGCTCCCACATCCACCTGTGAACATCCAGAGAGGGAACCAGGCAACAGTGTGCAGTCTACTACTCTCATCTGCTTCCACTGACCGATTAACTGGATAAATATCTCCATCGTGGCACCTGTTGTTGGATGGGAAATAGAATCTACGACCGGGTTGTTTATTTTAGTTGGTATGCAAGAAAAAGGATGTAAAGTGGAGCTAGGCGATATGACAAAATAATTACTTTGAATAAAATTTGATTTAGTCGTATTAAATAAATACTGACTCTCAATATGCATTTCCTGAACATCAACAGCGTCACTGGCGTTTAATACAAAAAATAGTTTGATACATTCCTCAAAAGTGTGAACATTTTCTTGATAATTACCGGTCGTCAACCTTGAGTTAGATTAAAATGTTATTATTTGCAGTAAGAAAAAATGTGTCTAGCATGGACTAGAATAACAACGTTACAACTCCAACAGCGTTAAGGAACAGCTGAAGAAAAAAGCATTGTGACCTACGGCTGCTCGATTATGGAAAAAATCATTATCATGATTATTTTGGTCAATATTGAAATCACCAATATTTATACGATTATTTTTAGTTACATGATGCATTTATTCAGCATTTCTCTCTCAAAAAAAACTTTGTTTTCAAATTTAATATAAATATAGGCTACAAATATGAACCTTAGAGCAGTTTTGCGATGTATAAAACATAAAATGAATAAAATATACATTGAACATGAAATAAAGCATAGAAAAACATAAATGTTTCCAAAATAAACTACAGATGTATCCAGATGTTCTACAATCTCTATATTTAAAAATAAAAGAAATATACTTATTTATATAAAAATATCCCAAAATATTAAGCTTTATCGTTTCAACTTGATTACATGAGTTTGAAGATCGTTTGACAAACAAATCAAAATCATGATCAAAATTCAGTTACTTGCACAGCCTTATTGTAACCCTTGATAATTTAAACAGCTCTGCTCTTTATAGAATATAACATCCTGTGTAATAAACATGTAATCTTAACGGTTTAAATGTAATCTTTAGTCCAGTGTTATTACAGGTTTTCACACTGACCGTTACATTGTACATTGTGGTAGATGCAATGAACCAGAAATGAACTAGTGTAAAATAAAGTGTGACCCTTAACTTAAATATGTCCTTCATAAATTTATATATGTATATTATCTAATCAGCCCATGTTGTGTTTGTCCTTGGTCTCCTGCAGGTCCAGATGGTGAGCAGCATGAGGATAGGGCGAAATGTAAACTACAGGATCCTGGACATCGACTGGTGCACCTCAGATAAAGTGGTCCTGGCCTCAGACGACGGCTGTATCCGGGTTTTGGAGATGGCCATGAAGTCTGCCAGTTATCGCATGGACGAGCAGGACCTGACCGGTGAGACGGGGACCAGAAGGGAAAGAAATACTAAAGCTTTAAAGTTATTTGGGATGAAAGTGCGCTTGTTTTGTAAATATGCTACAAAGCAACAAAGCTCATTTAGAGTGCAGGTGCAAGAATATTTAGCAACAAAGTGAAAATGCAAATTGTTCTAAAGTTGCTGACTGGTAGCATTACAGAAATCTACCTAAATCATTCTGCTTTCTACATTGTTACGCTTCCTCCTTTTTGAGGTATTCTTTGCCAAGTAGGGCTCTCAAAAGTATACATTTCTAAAGATTCTAATAGATACTTGAACTAATATTGACACTGATATTCATTTGAACAAATAGCAAGACAAAATTTGACCTTTCCTGAACAGTTTTAGAAAGGTCTTTATCTATATCAAAATTTGTATAAGACATGTAGCTATATTATCATTTTTGTTGGAAATTACATTCTATTAATTTTATGGTTTTAAAATGATCTTGTTTTATTTTTTTTACTTAATCCAATCCAATCAACTTTATTTATATAACACATTTTATAAACATGACAGTTTTCAAAGTGCTGCACAGACAAATTCATGCAATAAAAGAGGGTAAATCATAATTAAAAACAATAAATGTAAAGTGTTAAAATGCATAAAGCTAAAAACAATAAAAAACAATAAATAAAATAAAAATAAATAAATTAAAGACACAGAGGACCACACAACTCACGCCGTGTTAAAAGCTCGAGAGAAAAAGTGGGTCTTAAGATGAGACTTAAACAACACGGTGGGGACTGTTTGGATGTGGGGGGTTATGTATCAAAATTGGTATCACTAAAGTGGCCATTAATAAACATAACAAATAGCCATAGATTAAAATATATATATGTTTCTGCAAAAAAGCATAGGTAACAACCAGCTGTATATTGTAACTAGAATAACATTGCCCCCTTCATAAATTAGCTGTAGCATTAAATTAAACATGTATAATTTGTTCATATTTGTGTAGATCCGGTGTGGTGTCCCTATCTGCTGCTTCCCCGAGCCGCCCTCACCCTCAAAGCCTTCCTGCTCCTCCAGCCCTGGTCCGGCACCTTCACTATGGACATCACTCAAGTGTAAGTCCTATTACTCCTCCACTGTTTCCCATCATTACACCATTACAATGTTGAACGCAGACACTTATGTAACCCAGAAGCAATTATTAAGATAGTGCCGACCATCCGAGTGAACCGTTTATCACTTCGAAATTAAAATAATCCCCAATTTGCCTGTGTAAGGAAGTGTAGAGACTGTAATAAAGTCCTATTGAAGTGGGCCTTCTGAGCTGTTAAATACACAATCATCTTATCACACGTCAGCCTGTTTATAGATGTGGGCTCACAGCGTTATCTGACCTCAGCATAATGTGTGAATGAAGTTATGTATTACAGCTCAGTGTAAATCAGCGACGTGTACCAGTCTAATCAGGTCAGGTGGGTTCATTTGAGTTTAATTTAGATTTTTTTTCCAGAGACTACAATGAGAAAAATGAGATAAAAGGACTGATACAGGAGCAGCTCAACTCTTTGTCAAAGTAAGATTTTTCTGTTTGTAATACGCACACGATGATTTAAAGTTATGTTCTGATGTTTTAAGACTTAATAAGATATTGAAAACAAGTGGACCATTAGGGCTGGGCGAAATTACAAAAAATGAATCACTGTTTTCCCTCATGTTTAGCTGTAACAAATTTTGATTCTTTTTAATTTTGTCTTATTAAAAGGGATAAAAATTACTTTTGATATTAATTTCTTGAAATGAAACAGCAGAGACTTTTAATCAGTCCCTGTGAAAAAGTCTAATATCTGAAAGTCTGAAATCCAAACCACTTTTCTTTTACTCTCAGAGGATGGGATGTAGACCTCTCAATTAAAAAGACAAGGGGTCACTCTGGAGGTGTGAAAAACATGTGTTCAGAAGGTTGTGTCCAGCTTGTAGACTGCCAATTAGTAGATAGAGAAGATACTGAAGACTGCATTTGCGTAATTAATCTCCAAAGATTGTGTGTATTCATAATGCATATTACCTCTAAAGATTTGATGATTAGATGATTTATTGATCAGCTAGGATCTTTGGAATATGGGTTAACTTAATGCAATCTTAATCATAAATGTGCAAAGTTATTCAGGTTTAGCCACTTTAAAAAACATTTAGGTTTCATAGATAAAGTCAGCATTAAATACTCCTCAGCAATGAATCAAGTCCATTAATCCATAGACCATAGATTAGTTTATTTTTTAAGACAAAATAAATGATGCCGTTGTTTCATGCACAGTTTGTTTTAATTTATCCGTATCTGTATTGTATGTCTGATTCACAGAGCAATTACAAAAGAGTCATTACCTAGTTTGCATTAAACCTTTTGCAATTCATAAAAGTCATATGTGCATGAAGTTTTTCTCATTTATCAGGGTGATTGAGTGAAGGTTTTGTTGTGCTTTGCGATTAATAAAAATCTTTAAGAGTCACTTGTTGTGTAGACTGTGACAACATTGATAGCTGTTTGTGACGCTGTGTTTTGACTGGTCCACAGTGACATGAAGAGTGTGCTACTGGACCCTGAGCTGAGCCTGCTGCAGCGCTGCCTCCTAGTGTCCAGGTACGTCACACCCCACGAAGAATTAAACATGTCTGGGCTTTGTACAGGCTGTGATGTCCTGACAGCTGGTGTTTTTCTCACTGAAAGATATTGAGATATTGATATAGGATGCTCAAAGGAGAACGTGTTGAAGATGCACTGTGTAAGTTTTCTGATGTCCACTACCTGCTTGTCTCCATGGAGATTTCTATACTTCTTTACTTTATCTTATTTCCATGGAGACATTTTTTACTCCTAACATCCTTGAAACACCATGAGTTCAGGATTGGGGATTTATTATTATTTTTTATTTATTTATTTTGGGCGGGGATGGGGACCTGTTGCCTCCCCTCAATTTCATTTCTCTCCAGCGACTCTGTCAGGAATCAAAAAACAATAGACGGTTCGCAAAAACCCAACGATTCCCGAGATCGAGGATTTAAAGCTGGAGTGAAGAGAATGTTTGGTGAATTTTATCAAGGGGATAGACGTTATTGCCCTTCTTCCTACAGGATTTGGGAAAAACTTAATATACCAGTTAGCCCCGTCAGCGGCACATTACATACGTCATGACCAAATCGCAGCGATTGGTTAAATGATAAAAAGTACCCACCTATCAGCAAGCAAACAAATTGTACCACTGCAAGGTCAGACGGTTCGTACGAAGTGAAACGAAGTAAAAGCGGCTGATGAATCAGGCTAGATTTTTGTTTGATCACAAGTCTAAAAAATGATAGAAATAAAAAAAAATATTGTAATGCACCTGCTGTAATTTTTAACATTAACTATGCCATGAGGACCATTTCAGGACCAGGCTGTTAAACGCAGCATTTTTCCTGAATTGGTCCTCATTGTATACTTAGTGTTAAAACTTACGGCAGGTACATTACAATTTTAAAGCAAAAAGTAAGTTGAGGTTTATTTGTCACGTTTTTGCTAAGTAGTTACATCTCCTGACAAAATAATTGATTATATTTTTGCTGTACTTTCGTTGCATGTGCATCTTCTCCAAAGGCATGACGTTGTGAGCTTGTGTCAGCAGCTCTGATCTGCGCCCCACTTCTCATCTCCCCTGAGGATAAATCTGAAATCTGGAGCAGCCCTTTCACTTGATATGCACAATCCTCCCGTGTCTGCATTTTTATTTAAAACACACTTTACCTGAAATGTCAGACTCCTGCTCTTCTACTTAATTGGCACAGGCTACATCTGGTTTAGTCCCTCATTAGTCCTGGTTTAGATACAATTCAGGGCGCACCATGGAGCTTTCCAATAAAATCTTCACGGAAACAAGCAGCTTAAATTTTTCTGATGGGATTACCCTCAAAAGTTTCATAGTATAGCATTAAACATATCTAGCGTTTAGTCAGTTCTGCTATGTATTGCTCAAAAATCGCTTGAAGGAATGCTTACTGTAGCAGGGTCCCCTCTCCACACTTGGCCTGGCAGCATTACTAGGTTGTCTCCATGGAGATAGATGACTTTAATGCCATACTGATGAATATTCCCAGCAAAGTAAAAGTTACACCGTGCACTTTCAACCTGTGAAAGCTAAAAAATCTGCCCCATTGTCTAATTAGCAGAACCTATGTTTAAGGTTCACTGAGTTTTTTTTTTTTTTTTATCACAAGTTGCCTTTGTTCACATGGTCACGTATCCTAGCAACAGCTGTGTAGTGATATGCCATTTTAAACAACAGAACAAAATGCTGGACAATGAACGGAGCCAGTGCAGCGGATCTAACCAATTTCTGATCATTAGTGTACTAGTATTTTAATTTAACGTGCTCTGTTTTATATTTAGTTTATTACTGTATACATATTTTGCTTTTACGCCTCATTTGGTATTTGGTGACGACAAACTGACTTGAATTCTTAGGTGGGACAAGCGGCTTTTATTGTCTAGCTCTCATTGGCTACAGTTTAGAGCCCTGTACTCCCGCGGGCCTGCCACGAGACCCACAGGACCCGATGCACAACAGTGCAGCGAGGGACACATTTTGGAAGCTCATTGCAGGCAGGAGCAGGATTGCACAATGCGGGAGCGGGTGGGTGAGAGGATAAACTGCAGTCCCGCAAACTAAATCTGAGTGTAAAGTAAAATATACAAATGATGAATGATATTTTATTTGGCCTTAATTAAAAATATTTTAAGCAGCCTAAATGTGCGGATGTGTTCTAATCTCACTCACATTTTAGACAATTCCTGTCCACTACTCCGTGTTTGATAGAGCTTAAGAACGCAAACGTCCCCATCTTGCAGGACTTGTGGGCAGGAGCGGGACAAATTATTGTAGATGCAGGCAGGAGTGGGACTGCACAGTGTGGGAGCGTGCGGGAGCGTGCGGGAGCGGGCGGGAGCGGGCGGGAGCGGGCGGGAGCGGGCGGGAGCGGGCGGGAGCGGGCGGGAGCGGGCGGGAGCGGGCGGGAGCGGGCGGGAGCGGGCGGGACCGGGCAGGAGCGGGACCGGGCAGGAGCAGGACTGCACAGTGTGGGAGCGGGCGAGAGCAGGACTGAAAATTCAGTCCCGCGCAGACCTCCAACATGTTTTAGTCCAAGTTTGCACCTGATTCAGTCCTGATTCAGTCCTAACCTGTCGTCCATTTGAAACACTTTCTCTTAAAGCTAATTACAATGGCTGACCTGAATGTATGCCTATCATGCATAATTTGTGCTGGATATTTTATTTGGTCTTAATAAAAGCATTTTAAGCAGCCTAAACTTGCAGACGTGGTCTAATCTTGCTCACATTTTAGACAGTTCCTTTTCACTACTCCGTGTTTGATAGATTTTAAGAAAGCGAATATCCCCGTCTAGCGGGACTTGCAGGCAGGACAAAATATTGCAGATGCGGGCGTGAGCAGGACTGAAAATTACAATTCTTTGCGGGAGCAGGCAGGAGCGGGCGGGAGCAGGACTGAAAATTCACTCCTGTTTCAGTCCTGATTCAGTCCTAACCTGACATCCATTTGAAACATTTTCTCTCAAAGCTACCCTCCATAATTAGAGTAGCTGACCCGCCCCTGTTGTATCCTAACATATCACCACTGGATGCTATCTATATTACTGCTGTCTGACAGTGTGCTAGCTTTGGCCTGACAGAAGAAGTCCAAAGAGCACAGGTGAGCACGCATAAATGCCAGATGAGGGAACGAGAACTGGCTTCCATCTACTGAAAAAACTGAACTGAAAAAATCAAATAAACATGCAGATGGTTGGATTCATCTGTTGCTGTGTTTTTTGTTTTTTCAGGTTATTTGGAGATGAGTCCTGACCTGCTCTTCTGGACCGTGGCGTCCCATTACCTGCAGTCGTTCGCCCAGGCCCGGCTCCTCAGTTTGTCGAGCGGAGAAAACCAGAATGAAGAGACTCAACCTTCGCCTCAGAATCACCTCGATATCTGCCACGATGTCCTCTGTGAAAGCTCCTATTTCCAGGTCAGTGCAAAACAAAACACTTCACTTCACTGCGTCTATATGCAGGAACATTGTAGACAAACAATAAATTCCCCAATAAGAAATCACTGGGCTACAAAGCAACTGGCAGCACAGGCGACGACAATGTCAGCAACTCTGCTCTGGCCACACAATAGACTCCACTGTTACTGTTAGAGCTTTCATTTGGTCTTTTCATTTCATTCCTGACCTGTCACACGTCAACAGCATGCCCATCAATCTTACTCAGTAGTTTTAAAACGTTTTTAACCTACTGGACAAATTTTACACTGCAAAAAGGTTTAACCAAATGCAATCTAACAAACAGGTCACATTAGTAATACTATCAAACTATATTTATTCATCTTATGCCAGTACTCACTGTTTTACATGCTCCTCTTTCTTGAAGCTTTGTTTGTTGTGTGAATAGATTCAATTCAAATGCTTCTCATCTATATTATCTGGTCCAATACTTTTTTTTTTTGCTGTTTTGACCCTGTCCACTGTACCAAAATGCTACACAAGATATCTCTGACTGTTCTCTCATATCACTGAGCCTAAAATAACGAATAATACATAAATATTTATGTTTTCTTCATTAATTTACAAATACAGGTGTGGTGATAATGAAATCAGAGAGATGTATCTCTTAGGATCCTGTATTGTATAGTTAGACTAGGTATCATTAAGAAGTTGCCGATACAATACATACCTCGATACATAGGCCACTATACCATACAAATCTCGATACAGTGCACTTTCAATTCGATACGATATATTTCAAAATGATTCGATATGGTTCAATAAAAAATAAAACTTTAATCATGTCTGTGATAGTATAAGACTTTGTTAAATCACTCCTTGTGCAATGTTCATATGAAAACGCCCATTTTTTGTGAATATGTCAAATTTGTTGCATAAACGAGTTTCCTTCCTCTAAACAAGCAACAAAAATGTAGCTGCAACAAAATAATTTAGTTAAATAAACCAAAAAATACTCTTGGTGATATATCGATACAGCAGCCCAAGATATCGATATTGTATCATCACATTAAAAGATAGGATATATCAATATTTCGATATTTTTGCACACCTCTATTGTACAGTGTGAATGCTGTCTGTGTGTTGTCTTTTGTTTTGTTTTGGTTTATTTTTTCTTTCTTTTCTGTAAATGCTATTTTTGTCAGTGTATTTAGGACCTCGCAAACATGATGCAAGTACTATTATACTATATTAAACTAAGTACTATTATATTATATTACTAGCACTTGACAGACTTAGAAAACTATTGTATTGTATAAAATAGTAAAATCTCAAACCTTAATTATGCAAGTAACTCTGTTCCAGGATCCCAAATTTGATGCACATCCAAGCATTAAGCATTACTCTAAATCCAATCTTACTTTTCATATTCCATTATTAGGGGAATCAGTATTTTATTATGTTCTAGGATGAAGTAATGTCCTTTCAATAGACTTGTCTCACTAGCTCCCAGTCTTTTAAGGCAAACTTCTCTTATCAATCTCGGATGCTGTACCAGTGACGTTATCCCACACTGAGATAAGCCCATTTGAAATAACAGCTCTGTTGTGCTTCGTCATTGTTGGATCATTCGTCTTGGAGAGGACATGGCTGACCGTGCTCCAGTCCTTCTGCCTCTGTTTTCCTCTTTAATTATCCACTCTGTTTGTTCTGGGACGGGAAAGTGTGCCCCGAAGATTCATCACGTTTTATGGTCGCCAAGCTCAATGTAGAAGTTTACTCTGGTCGAAGGTGGTGCCAGACATCAGTACATTTCAATATATATGTATATTTTGTTAGGAATATATTTGAAAATCTTGGCGCACCTAAAATTTGCTCATTATTTGATTCGTGGAATTATAAAATCAGTGAGATATTTATGTTAACAGTTCCATTTGATCTGATGTGAGTAATCGAATTTCTTCCTGAGTGTTTACATTTTTGTAGGATTTGATACGAGAAACTATGAAAAATAGGCAAAGTAATGTGGCAAAGACAAAAGGATATGTTAAATGATTCAAAGAGTTGTTTTAAAATTCATTGTACTACTTCATTAGTTACCGTTGATTCCCCAACTTGTGTTACCGGGTGTTTTTGAGGTGCATGTTCACACACACATCTGATTATTCTGGTGATCTGATTTTTACTGACCACGTAAATTTAATCACTGTTCTTGTTACTTGATTCATAAGTACTCAATCGTGTAATTAAGTGCATTGCAGTATTGGCTTTGGACAGCAAAACATATTTTCCCCAAGTGGAACATTAAAGGAACAATTCGACTTTTCACCATCTGTACTGGCAGACATAGATTCTTGCCAGTGCCAAATGTTGCACCATTTTCCAGACACTCAATTACTCACCTAAATGTACAGATAATGCAAATTTATGTAGAGATAGTCTTCCAGAAGTACTTCACAACACTGTCATGTCATGCACTTCCACATGAATGAAGAGCGTTTTGTTGATTTCTGAGCAATAACTTAAACATTATTCATATTGTGCCGGTACTTAGTGGTACAAATGTGACTAACTCCTGAAATGTGGTGACTGACGACTTCTACTTTTTTATTTAAAATTTTGTTTTGCTGTCTTTAGGCATGTGTTTTGGAGTCTGAATAGTCCAGATAATTTCAGTTACCAAAATACGATTACAATCACAGGGTAGCTGCAGGGTCTTAAAAGTCTTAAAAAGGTCTTAAATTTCATGTTCCCAAATTAAGGCCTTAAAAAGTCCTTAAATTATATTGTCCAAGTCTTATTTTTTCACAGAAGTCTTAAATTTCATTAGCCTTTTTTGTATGCTCAACTGGGCTGTAAATGTTAAATGGAGGGAGTAAAAAAAAAAAAACAACAACGTGAAATTGCGTAACATGAATGAACGTCTAATGTGGAGTATACGCAAACAATACTTTGGTTTCTGGCGCTGTCGGCCATGAGTAACAATCAGTAGAGTGGACGAAGACGTTGGATGGATCATGGGGAAGTGTAGGTTTAATCCACAGTGGTTCTTAGATTCTAGATATAGTACAGTAGTTGGTTGGTCATTATTAAAATTGGATCTGGTGTTTTTAAGTGGTCTTAAAAAGGTCTTAAAAAGTCTTAAATTTGGGGTAATCAAACCTGGGGATACCTTGAATCAGGTCACTCTTATTTCAGTATGTCCATATTACCGAAATCCTACAATTGCTTGGTATTAGAACAGTTTATAAAGTAAATCAGACTGGGAAGACAAATGAATAAAGCGAGTGTTATGGTCTTTTTCACTGTTATTGTGTGAGCCCTCACTGTAATCCCATAGCTGCATTAGAGCCCACACAGCTCTGTCTGCATCAGTCTCTTGTTGTCATAAAAAAGGAGCTCCAATGGCAGCCGCCTGACCATAATTACTAATATACCCTCGACTCCAAGTTACTAAACTGGATTGGGCTGTCTCTGTACGATTTATGTCCAGGGCTCCGGCTCACACAAGGATCCATCATAATAAAGTAAAACCTTGCGTTCGATACAGAGACACAAGTCCCCACATGGCACAGCAGGCACAGTCACTTATTCACTTTCTACAGCTCAGTTTTATTGGATCCTTTGCTCTCTCATCTCTTTTATGAAAATAAGGTGTCGTACCGGGAAAAATCTATCTTTTTGATGTTTCAAAATAAAGTGGGATGATCTTTTATTGAGAGCATGTAATAAAAAGTGCAGAAAGAATAATAGGACAAACAGCAGAGTGAGGGGTAATAAAGCTTTGTGAATATTTTAAAGGTTTTGAAATTACTTTTTAAATTACACTTTTCAACTCGCCGCATTCTTCGCCTGCTAAGTTCCCCGTCTATTTATAGTCTCATCAACTTTTGCTGCCACACATTTGCTCAAAAAGTCTTTCCCTATTACTCTGTATTGATTGCTTTGTCTCCAGATGGTTGAATTAATCATTTTGTTTGTTGTGCGCCGCAGAAGTTCCAGCTGGATAGAGTTCACCTGCAGGAAGTGAAGCGCTCCAGCTACGATCACACCAAGAAATGTGCCGACCAGCTCCTCCTGCTGGGACAGGTAGGCACTGCACCACCAACTGATGATACATCCATACACTGACAATGCTTTCTGTAAAACTGAATGGATTTTAATTTTAATATTCTGGGATTAATGGACTTTACTGCAACTGCTACTGCTATTAGTACTGCTACCACGTCTACTACTACTCTTACTCAAACACTGTATGTGCAGATAAAATATTTGATCTACAATGTATAGATTTTACCTGAACTATACTACTACTAATACAACTTTTCAGAAAGTAAAGCTCAGCACTAACAGTTCCAGAATGAATTTTTACTCAATCTTCATATTTTTGACCAGAAAAAACAACTTGTCCACATTGTCTGTACTAAGTGCAGATCTGCTGCAGTTATAATATTCCCAGCGGTTGAAAATACCATTTCCCTAGAGACAGAGGTCACAGGTACGAGGGGGGTAATGAGGGGGAGCGGAGATACTGTGCCAGCGAAAGTGAGGACCGGGGTGTGACGACCATAGTTTTGCGAGAATTCACGTGGTGGGACATAGTCACTGCAGGGCGCAATTGTTGTCAAGGCAGCCACCCTAACTATAAAGCTCTGCGGGAAACATTACGGACGAGTTCCCTCATGAATATTAAAGAGCTGAGCCTTCCGTGTAGCTGCACATGTAATGGTGGAAGGTAAACACACACAAATTGTGTGAACTCACTCGTGCACTGCCCTGCACCAAACCAAACTCAATTTACTAAAATGGTTTGTCATGAATACATGTGCTGTTACACCCCTGCTCAATACTGATTAGTATACTGTACCATGATTGTAAAAAAAAAACACTTCATTTAGACAGTAGTATGTCATTTTCATCATTTGGTCAAATTCATTCTAAAGCGATTCAGGAAAGGTTAATTTCTGTCTTGTTATTGTGACTTTTTAGCATCAATACTTGCATAAATGAGTGTTTAGTTTCATTCATTTGACTTTTGATACTCTTGACAACCCTGCCTATTCTACAAACCAATTTTATTTTGTTCAAATGACCCTTACCAAACGCAATGACTCGTGTAGCCTGGTTGTTTTCCTGCATTATAAACTCCTGCAGGCCTTGTATATCTAACCCACCCTCTCCCTCCACTTATCTGCTGGTATATGCATGCTCTCATAATAGCACTAAGGATATATGCGTGCTGTCTGAGCTAATGATGCGAGTGTGAGGATAAGGACCGCCATCTTTGTCCCTGGAGGCTCATCTGTTTGGCATTTAAGACACCTCTAACACTGGCAATGTCCCCACTCCACTCTCTCCTATCACACGGAGCAATCAGGAAGCCCTCTGATGAAAGAACATAGCTCGTATAAACCCGCTCCTCTGACCCCACGATGAGCTACTGACGGCCATTCTCGCGCTGATGAAAAGAGGAGATAATCAACATCATTTCCCCCAGACAAAGCGCATTGTTTGCAGTGTCTCGGCGGTTGCCTGGCTCCTTTCTTCTCCATGACCTCTAGTGGTTTTGCTTTCACCTTTTGCTTGCAAAGTGGGAGAGACCCTCCGCAGGTGAGACCTAATCAGAGGGGAAGATGTAGAATTGTTATTAACATGCATATTTATATCTCAAAAGAAAATTATAATCTGTTAACTGGACAAAAGTTTTAATATTTCTCCACCCTTTACTGTAAACAACCAGGGTGTGTTGGTTTTAGTGTAGTTCGCTGCTCCCTTCAGATGAATAAAAGACAGTGACTGTAACCAAAGAAGCCTCTAGAGTTGCAAAATGCATTCACTCTTAAAAACTTTTCTCCAGTTGACAAATTGACAAATAAATTGTGATGGAACATATCTAGACAAATGCAAAATATTGGATGCTCTCTCTGTCTATCTATCAATCTTCCTCTGCTTTGTGCTTACTTTGTTGTCTTAGGTTATAGTTAAATACAAAAAAGCACAATATCTCTTCTGTTAGATTCATTTCACTGTTTTTGCTCATGTCTCTTGTCACAGACGGACAGGGCAGTGCAGTTGCTCTTGGAGACGAGTGCAGACAACCCGAGCTACTACTGCGATTCACTCAAAGCCTGTCTGGTCACCACTATCACCTCTTCAGGGCCGTCTCAGTCCACCATCAAGCTAGTGGCCACCAATATGATCGCTAATGGAAAACTAGCAGGTATACACTTCATTTAACATCACACAAACAAAACTGTACATTTGAGTTTTTCTGGAAAACTTCTCTGCGTTTACTGTTACTGCAACAACAGTGCTTTGACTGAGGACTAATGGCCATATGGAAATGTATTTTTTTCCGGACCCAAATAATGAGACATACACTCAACATTAGGGCTGGGTATCTTTCAGAAGTTGCCGATACGATAATACCTTGATACATAAGCCACGATACAATACATATCTCGATACAGTGAGTTTACGATTCAACACCATATATTTCAAATTGCTTTGATTTCATGATTTTCTGGTTGCTGTATAAAAAAAGAGGTGAGGACCACAAGAGCATTTTCTGAAGGTTTAATACAAACACACAGAGCTCTGGCTCTACTGCCTACATGCAACGACAGAGAGAGTGAGTCTCAGGATAGTTTTTATACACTGTTGTGGACAACAGGTGTGAGGCTCATGTCAAACAGAGTGATCAATACATGGTCAAGCAACAACTGTAGTCATAAAGGTGTACTGTGACAAGTTAACTTTAGCAACAACAAATGGTCTGTTGGGATCCAGAAACATTCCTTAATGTAATTTTAGGAAATAACAGACTTCTTCTCCTATTCCTTACATGAAGCTTGTTTGTCCTTCAACTAACATTAAAAAAACATGCCATCACGCTTCAATACGGTTCAATAAAAAAATAATGGCTAATTTGTGGCTGTGATACTAAAAGTCTTTGTTAAACCACTTCTTGTGCAGAGTTAACATGAAACACACCCATTTTAATCATCAAAACAGTGAAAAAGTCAAATAAGTTGCATAACAGAGTTTCCTTCCTTTGATGAAAACATTAAAACTGTAGCACTGTAACAAAATAATTTAGTAAAATATACCAAAAAAATACTCTAGACGATATATCAATACAGCAGCCCATGATATCGATACTGTATCATCACATTTTTGATATTTTTGCACACCCCAGCCAACATGCATAATATCAGAAAACTTATCATGATTTAACACCTGACAAAGTCTAACAAAAAAAAAAAAAACAATGTCTTTACTAGAAATATTGGAACTACACTCACTCCGCATTTGTTTTGTAACTTAGCATCTCAAGTTAAAGTATTTAGGTAGTTTTCCACTTCTATTATAATGCCTTCTTCCTCAGACCTATAGTTGTCATGATTTGCCTTACCAACAACTGTAAGAAATGAATAAATGAAAGACATACACAATATTTTTACAGACCTAGAGACTGTCTGCCTGTCTGAATATACTCTTTTCAATACTATAGAGCCGTATTGACTTGTGTGGCTGTCTTGAACATATAGGCTTACAATTTGTCTGTTTGTGTTGCTGTCAGAGGGGGTCCAGCTGCTGTGTTTGATTGACAAGGCTGCAGATGCGTGTCGATACCTCCAGACCTATGGGGAGTGGAACCGCGCTGCTTGGCTGGCGAAGGTAACTCAGCATGAAGTGTCCATCAGCAGGAAGTACTAGATATAGAGCCATGTTTACACCAGACTGATATGTAGCTTGTATATCTGGAATATGATCATTATAAGAATTTTGGGACCGTGTGAAAATGCATTGGTCTCTTCAACGTAGTTCTAAAAAGTTGTTCATTAACTCCGACAGCTGCAGTCGCTGGTGCAATAAAATAACCCTGATATAATTAGCATGAAGAAGATTTGTCTCGCAGTTGCTCCTTTAAGCTTCCTAAAGATATGATAGCAACAGTACAGTCACAGTCAGGCTGTTTAATCCTTGCACGCACTTCTTTCAAACTGGGACTACACTAAGACTAATTGTGTTACTTAAGCAGAACTAGAACAAGTCTACATCAAAAGTAAATTGGGCTCAAACCAGGATCAAGCCAGGATACAGCCATATAATATCACCATGCATGTGTCATAATAACATATAGCATGTAAATATCAAGCAGTATTTTGTGAGCTATAATACTGGCTTTGTTAATAATTCATAATACTGTAGTTCTTGTTAGGCTTTATATTTTTTAGAGAGAAAAAATACACAGACACAGTTATGCATTACCTGATTTAAAAGTAACCAGTTTTGAGGATGTTCTTTACTGACTTCCAAAATGAATGCGAGAGAAAATAACGTACAAAAGTATTAAAGTTAATTTGTTTTGTTCTGGTTTGACAGGTGCGTCTGAACCCGTGTGAGAGCTCGGACGTCCTGAAGCGTTGGGCAGAACACCTTTGCTCTCCTCAGGTCAACCAGAAGTCCAAGGCCATCCTGGTGCTGCTGTCCCTCGGTTGCTTCTACAAAGTGGGAGAAATGCTCCACAGGTGAGGCCCCGTGTTACGACCCAGCTCTGCTTGGGACAGGGGAAGTAACAAAAGAACCAAGATGTAAATAGTAAAACTAAAGTTGTAATTTATTTAAAAGGAATGTAAAGGTAAAACTAACAAAAGATGATATTTACAAGGATTAACAAAAAGAGGATCTAAACAGAGTAGCTAAATGTGTAACTAAAAGTGACAGAATTGTACAAATTATATTAACACAAAAAGACTACTAGTGTCTCAAACACCAAATTAACAAAAGCTACACAGATACACAAGTGTGGCATGCAGTTCACAGGCAGAACAGCAGTCAAGAGTGGCAGGGGGCAGGTCCTTTTAAGGTGTGGCAGCTGCAGATGTAGGCCCAGGATTGTCCAGGCATTAGGGCGATACACCAATCAGCTAGAAGGGACCGAGGAGCCAGCTTGTGTTGAATCCATCAATCACAGCAGGGGTCTGGAAGATTGAGGCTTGCATGCACACACACACGGATCAGCAGCAGCAGCAGCAGACTTAAACATATATGGCTATAGGACAGGGGTCTCCAACCTGTAGCTCTCCACCCTCTTCTAAGTAGCTCACCAAAGGATTTCTGAATTATACATATTGTACTGAATGGCTCAAATTTGATGAACTACCATTATAACTACTGTACTATTTACCCAGGATATTCCCAGTGTTGAGCCCTGTGTCCCCTACCCCAGCAGATTTATCCAAAACCACTGATTTGCCTCAGTTTTATACAAGAAATGTCCCAGGTTTCCCTATTTTTGACCAATCTGTTCCCTGCCAACAGTAACAAGAGGCATAAATTGTCATTTGTTTTAGGCAAGTTACAGAAAAAGCTGCTTAAAAATCACCCAAACACAAAGAAAATGTGACTATACTGACTTACATGTTAGTCACGAATGGTCTCTACCTAACAATTTTCCTTAATTACGCACTCGTTTCACAGTTTTATTGTTACCAATCACCAAAAAAAAAAAAAAAAACTGGGATGTCACAGTTTTTTTTATTTTGGAAATCTGGTCACCATAAACTTCGTGCACGAATAATAAGATAAAGTTTATGTTATATTGGTATGTAATTGTTCCCCATCTAAGGTTTTCCTATGCTCAATTTCTTGAGCTGAAATACTTAACTTTTTTGCTTTTTTTCACCAGAAGAAAAACGCTGGAGACCCCTGTTTTAGAGGGAACTATAGCCAGTCATAGAGCAGTACTAAAACCTACTTATTTTGCATTACGTTACCAGAGTAAATTGATTTAATGAGAGTTTTGTTAATATTAATGGTTTGATTTAACCATTGTTCATTAATATTATACAGTTTAGTTTTGGTATTAATTAAGGGTAGACTCTTTAAAGGTGCACTATGTCACTTTTCTGGTGAGGTGTCAGGGACCTGCTTGTCTGTATGGAGATGTTATTGCTTTGTCTGGAATCTTCTACAGTGTGACATAAAATTTATCTTTGTTGCATTTTTAGAAATACAATGTTTTTTACATCTTCATTGAGAATGTAAAAAAATTTGAACTTGGCACATCAGTTACTTTAGACGGGTGCATTTGAAAAGAGGGAGCAGCCCAAGAACATAGAGAAAAATCCCGCACACTGTCTTACTTGCAAATTGTGAGATTTATTATTACTTTATTATTATTATATTATTGCATGGTTTGTCCTAATAAATCTCACAATTTGCAAGTAAGACGGTGTGTGGGATTGAGAAAGCAGGTATTAGACACTCCACCACAAAAGTTCTTTGGTGCACCTTAACCTTTGAAAGAGCCTTTGGTCCTTGATCCAGTATTGATCGACCATTCTTCTCAGTGACAAACCTTAGCACTCAGCTCTTACAGTATTAGAAGATGATGTATGCTTTAGCTTCACACCTTTCAAGGCTGTAGTGATAATAGTTACTAACACAATAGCTCTTTCTTTCTCATTTACCTCTGTGTGCCCCCTGTGTCCATGCGGGGGCAGTATGCGTCAGTTTGACCGGGCTGCCCTCTTCATCGAGGCCTGTCTGAAGTACGGGGTGATGGAGGCCAATGAAACGTCCAATATCCTTTTTTTCAAGACGCCATTACTGCCACGGAGGAACATTTACCATAATTATAAAATGTATAACTCTCCACTTCATCCTTTTCTATAGATGAGCACTGAACACAGGAAAGCTTTTACTCAATAGGGGTCGCTCCCCCATCGGACACTAATAACACTCTTTAGCTTTCATCTTTCATCATCATTAGATTTTTATCACAGGAAGAGCTCAACGACTGTCTAATGTGCCTAGAAATGTGTTATAAAACTGAAATGTGACATAATCGTAAGTATAGTGTGCTCACAAATTGACACCTTTCCAAGTCTATCTTTCCTTACTTTTTCATGTAAGTTTCTGAACACGGTTTTTAAAAGGTAAGGTCTGTAGCCTGGGCTTTTACTCTTAAACATGGTACTACACTCACAAATGACCCAGGTTTGCCAGTGCCTTACCCTGCATCTTGAGGTTACATACACGTTTTTCTTATTCTCAGTATACGGACAGAGAGGCTGCACAAACACTGAGCAGGTCCTGGGGTTTAGGTAGTGACCAGCTCAATTTAGGTGTTGGAACTGGCAGCCCAAATGAGAGACCTTGGCCTTTATGTCTAATATTTTTATAATTAAGAATTTGTCAGTATTAGAATTGTTATCAGTAAAAGCAATGTTAGATTTGAACATGTCTACCTTGTATCCGGGGTCATGTTAATAACACAAAACATAGTACATACTGGCAAACACGCATGTAGACATTAAGTTAACAACATCAAGTTTTTTTTTTTAGAACTGTGCTGTCATTCTAAACTCCTTTTAAGATGACGAGGAGAAAATTCAGTTTGTCGACTGGACAAAAGTTAATTTGGTTGAAGACGTTTCGCAGTTCATCCAAGCTGCTTCTTCAGTTCTGGTCAGAATGCTGGTGGACACTTCCTTATATCTGTCTGCACCGAGGAGCTAACTAACTACTCTGAAACTAACACACCTACTTGTTTACTGTTTCTGTTAGTAAGTTAGTCCTATTGACCTGTACTGGTGTGGGGGTCTAATTAGCATAACAATTAGACCCCACACCCAATAACCAAACTAACTTTTGTCCAGTCGACAAACTGAATTTTCTCCTCGCCATGGATTCTACCTGGGCGACTGAGAGATTCTTCACACATCCTTTAAGATGATTTAAGAGATATACTGTATGTTTTTACCACTACAGTAAAATTCTCTCCTTGTTTATCTGCTTGAATATGATCCACCTCAAACAGTATTTAATCTTGAAGTTTATTATTTATTGCCTTCAGTGAATACAAGGCTTGACCGGTGGTTTGTTCATCGGTCAGTTTTAGCTCACATAAGATAAATAACATCCAGCAGCACTGACCAAACCTTGTCTTGTAAGATTTATCTGATAATATTTTTCAGTCAGATATAGTTCTCAGAGTAACATGGATCAGAGTCGCTTTAAATTACACCGAAAGTATCGAGTGATGATGAACCTTGAGGAAAAGTGCTGCCACTGATCATAACCACCATCAACTTTTTGTGTTTAGAAAAGAACAAGCTACAAGTTTAGAGTGAGTTTGACAAACGCAACATTGTGATGGCCAAACAAATTGCACAGGGCATCTCCAAAACTGCAGCTCACAGACAAGTGGATTTAATTGCTTGAGAAATGAAAGATAGTTTTGATTACGCTGGGTCTCAGATGACAGCACAGCATTTAAGCATGTAATATTTACAGTAGCTAGAGGGCAGTTAAAATTACTAATAAACTCTAAGATGCATAGATCATTGTTTTACATTTTACTTTTTAATTTAATATTAATTGTTGTAATCAGATTTTTAATTATTTCACGTATAATATATAGTATACAAGTGTATTACTCGACACGGTTTTGTCACCCGCGTTATACTCAGCTTCAGGGCAATACAGGTTTACTCAAGCATGTCGATCAAATACATTTTAGAATAATGTAAGATATAAGATTACTGAACACTGTAACATGACTTAAAATCTTTTACATAATAATATGGTATGTACGTACTAATATACATGGTCAGGTTCAACTTCAAAATGGTAAACAGCATTTTTTCCTTATGAAAAAAACATGTAATCAATATGGAAACATGATCCTGCCCTCGATGTGCGATTGTGTAATCTGAAAACCACTATAAATGTGTCAGAATTACACCAAGCATCACATTTTGTTGAGCATGTGATTTTTAACTATCATTTTACTATCAGTGGTCTTAATACTGTGACTGATCTGTTTGTATAACCTCCGAGACATACTGTGTTTGTCCTTGACCGTCACTGCACATAAACTGATCGAGGCAGCGTTCCTGGACTACGCCCGGCTGCTGCGCACGCTCGGGCTGAGAGAGGGCGCTGCTCTGTGGGCGTCCCGGGCTGGTACTGCAGGAGAGGCCCTGATGGAGGAGCTGTTCCAGGGGGAGGGGGGCGTCCCGGACAATCTACTGGCTGACGATGAGGTGGAAGTGGGCTTGGAGAGCACTGAGTGAGGAGAGAGGATAAGAAGGATATACTGACCCTTTCGGTGTGTGTAAACAACTTAAACTGTGTATGCTTTTTGGTGCCATAGGTTAATGTATTTTCTCTTGTTTTTTTTTCAATGAAATACCAACAAAACTGTAAAAGATTATTTGGCACATGACATATCCAGTAAGACAAAATGTGTTGCCACTTCTAATTGTCTATAAGTAACATATAGACCTTGATTTTGAAGGTGCACTATGTAACTTTTGTGGATGAAGTTACACTGCGTTGTCTCTATAGAAGTGTTCTTGATTTGCCTGGAATGTTCCACAGTATGACATTAATCTTATCTTAATTTTTTATTATTATTTAACTGTTTTATTATACCTTGGGAAACATGGATTCTTGTTAAGAGCAGGTTTACCTCTTCATAGATCTGATGTGTAACTTGTCCTGGTTTCGTCTCCATGGAGTTGTATACATTTAATGCCATACTGTGGAGCATTCTACTAAAACCAAAACATCTTTATAGAGAGAGGCAGGCATTTATTTTCATTTTAAAAAAGCATGCACAGTTTGATTGTTTACCAGATGCATTATGGGAGTACTACTACTACTACAGGTGCAGGTCACCATCTCATTCCCTTGTGGTAGGTTTGACGGGAACAGCGCTTCATACTAAAAAGAAAGATGAGTTTGTCCATGTCACTGAAGTGTGGTTGTGATTAGTGTGTTTTCGCTGTTTCATATCACCACTGTGCGATGATGTGCAATTGTGTTTGCATGCGATATGTTCAAAACACTTTCCTTAAATTGCCTCAAAGGTTGATTGGACTCATATCGTTCACTGTTATTGTTGTTATTGTTAATGATTGTTTTATGAAATCGATTTTTGAATGTTTATTTGCTAAGCTTTATTTTTTTCACATCCAGATAATGCAATGTGTACCCACCCTTTGATACGCTTAGCCCGCTCTAAACCAAGAATGACAGTCAATTTTGTTGTCACTTGTCCCACATTAAGTTAGAGAGAGAAAGAGGAGAGATACTTTATTGATCCTGAGGGAAATTCAAGCTAATAGACCCTCAACAAAACACCGGATAAAAAATGCTATTGTTACAGTTATTACAATTATTTGAATGTTTTCCATTGTGTACAAGGTTGCATATTGAAAAAAAAAGCTTCAGACTTGAGATTTCTAGTCCAAAAACATGCATAAGAGATAAGGTTAGGTAAAATCCTCCAACTAAAATAGTACTGACGAAGCTCAAGAACTGGAGATGAGCCCCTGTTTACGCTGTTAATAAAGTGTACCTTACCTACATGCGTTCATCCTTTTGGTAGATTTGGCCCTTTAGAAACTGTCCTCTAGTTTTATGCATGACAAAGAGAAAGAAAGATTAGAACCGTGTATAAAATGTCCGTATTTTGTTACACACTCCACTAACATATCGATCATATTGTGTCAAATTGAAAGCGACTGCCTCTAGTGGTGACAAGACTCCAAACTTTTCAACCAAATGCCTGAAAGTTTAGTTTTTGCACTTTTTTAAAACACCAAATCTACCTTTTTTTTTAATTACTGGGTGAATATTTGATCTTTTTCTTTACATCTAGTGGTGAGTGCGTGATCAAAACCTTTATCATGTTCACGTTTTTCCTTATATTTGTACTTAGGGTGTCTACTACTCTACTCTGTAATCCATTTCTATTATTTGCTCAATGAAAGGTAATTTATTATCGTGTGTGTGTGTGGTAAATTACTCCAATTAACTGTCTCATCTTGTCAAAAAGCGAGATTGATAAATACAAGCAAAAAATCTTGACAAAAAAAAAACTTCTCAGAGATAATATGATAATTCTTTTAAAGTTGGTGGAGTTTTTGTGTGGATATTTGCCTTGTGGTGCTGTGTGTTTGGATGGAGACTCAAACTTCATACATGGATCAATTGTAACGAGCATTGAATTCCGTGTTAGTATTTTTTTATTCTTCTGTGTATGCAAGAATCTATGGAGTAGGCTATATGTTTCCCTCGGCCCAGCAAGTTGAAAGTCCATACTATTGTTCAAACCCATAGACTTTGAATCAACTCCACTGTAAAAAACATAAACTACCACTTGTGTCATTAACATCCGCTGCTTGTCTGTACAAACAAAATATTACCTTTGGGTCTTCGGAGAGAAAACGCCTCAAACGGGATATTTTGAAAGAATTGTGTCATTATTTGTATTGTTAATTGTTTACTAAAGCCTAATGCTTTAAGATGAAGTATAACAAGAGAAAAGATGTATGTATATATGGATTACAATAAAAAGTTAACAATTTAGTCTTTAGTCTTTTTTTTTTTTTTTTTTCATTTAACATTCTTGCATTTTTGTTGGATGGTTAAAACTTCACTTTTCTCCTTGGAGATATTATTGCTATGTTTATGTATAGGGGTGTAACAATCTCCGAGTCTCACAATACGATATCGTCACGGTATGAACCTCACAGTACGATATTTATTGCGATATTTTGTGGAGGCTGCAAACAAAACTGTTAATGTGCTACTTTTTTCCTCTTAAACTGCCTTGACAAGACTTAATCCAAAGAACTAAGACTTAAAAGTGCTTACCGTAGAACTGTTATTTCTTCATGTAGTCTGCACTGAAATGGAGCAAAGGGTCATGGTCTATGTAGTAGGGCTGGGCGATATGGATCAAAAAATATATCTCGATATATTTTGCTATATCTCGATATACAATATATATCTCGATATATGTTCAAGAAAAAATAACCCCCTAAAACTGAAAACTGCAAAAACAAATCTGCCAAAATCCACAAGGTCCTTTTTTTTTTTTTAATTGAAGTGTAAGAGGTAGGCAGTTCATATAGGAACATTTAGGATTACAAAAAATAATAATTTAACTGTAAAATAAAATAAATAACATATTTTCTTCTTTTCATTCATAAATAAAACAACTGAACACAAGCTCATCTTTGCATTAACTCTGTTATCCAGACCAGAACCAGAACCATGAGCTCCTTTAGCAGAAGAAGCTCAGGATGTTCCTTATTTTAACAGATCCATGTTATTATCCAGCAGTGAGGAGCTCTGAGGTTTAATCCCACAATCCACTGCAGATCAAACCCAACGTTTCCAAACACTATTGTACAAGTGACACTGCAGCAGATTATTAATTAAAATCTTCTGCATAAATAAACTTTACAATATATAAAGTATAACGACTCCAGAGCCACATCAGCCCGTTTGCGATAATAATGTGTTTAATGCAGTTTTGCGCACATGTGTTTACATTTTACAGAAACCAAACTTAAGCGCGTGACTCATTTGCATAAACAGCACTTCTCATGCAGCTCAGCTCGTTTAGCTTCTTTTGGGCTAAAGGACGCGACTCGGTGGAACATGAGGATGTGCTGCTTATGGTTTTGTCTGTAAATGGTGGAAAAGGTTCGTGGTGCTTGAAGCTTTTCACTGGCACCAACTTTCGGTGTTCACGGTGGTAGTGAGAAGTGAAGGAGACACGAGCGAACAAAATCAGGGAGGCGGAGGCGACGAGAAAGAAAACAAACAAGCGAAGCAGCGAAATCAAAATTGAATATAAGCATCATATCGATATATACGATATGTCAGAATTCATATCGAGTTTAAAAAGTATCTCGATATATTTCAAATATCGATATATCGCCCACCCCTACTATGTAGTTCTCTGTCTTTTTTTTTTTGCTGCACCCCATCCATCCATTTTCTTGCGCTTTATCCAGGGCCAGGTCACGGAGGCAGCAGTCCAAGCAGGGACTCCCAGACTTCCCGTTCCACGCACACGTCCTCCAGCTCCTTTGGGGTGATCCCAAGGCGTTCCTATAAATATACATATATAAATATACCATGAGTTTTTAAGTAAAATTTTGTTTAAAAGTCATATAAATTGCAAAAATCTAAGACTTGAAATGACTTGAAGCTCAAAGCAGATGACTTGGACTTGACTTGGTCTTTCAGGCTGGTGACTTGCCTGTTTTTGCCTTGGGACTTGAGTCGGACTTGAGGTCAAAGACTTGAGACTTACTTGAGACTTGCAAAACGACGACTTGGTCCCACCTCTGATTTATAGGTTTACATTTCTAGACTTTTCTCCTTCTGTCTTTCCAGGTTGCTTTGTCTGAAACAGTTTGTTTTCAGGTCAGTCTGGGCTGGAGTCTTCAGAAGTGAGTGTTTCAAAACACTTCACCAAATGAAAGATGTGAAGATTGTGTTTATTTGAAATAGCCTTCCAGGACAGATAAGGTGAAGTATTTTCTCTGTACTCGAGGAGACACTTCACCTGCTCTACACCAGAGGGCGCTGTTCTTCTAATAATCCCACCAAACAGCCTTCTTAATAAAACAGCCCATGATTAAAGCTGGAGCTAATATATCACCACTCTGTTGCATTAAGACCCAGTACGCAGCCAGGTATATTGAGTTAGAATATTGGTGCATTTATCAAAGTGTCTTTCCAATGAATAACTTCCTGTTGGAACTGGTTTTCAGGATTAATGGCTTTGCTTTTTTTCACTCAGATGCCCCGCCAACAGCTGGCTGCAGCCCTATAGCCAGGTCTCTCTTTGAGCGCCTCACACTTATTCATTGCCCTGTGTCTGGTTGGTCCAAAAAGCAGAGGAAAAGCATTTGCAGAGACAGAGAGTTACACAAATGAGTGGATTGTCCAGCTGTAATGGTTTAATGAATGACTGCCGGAGAGTGGGGCCAGCCCCTTGGAGCAGGGACATCAGCATGCAGCACCTGTCCCACTGGAAGCACCGAGCGCAGGCAGCAGACCAGCAGACCAGCAGACCGGTAGAGGGGGCAGTGGGCAAAACCTGGGCTTGAGTGAGTAGTGTGGTTTTAAATGAAAAGGGACTCTGCAGTTACACACTAAATCCACAGAGCTCTCGGGCAAATGCTTCTTGGAAAATTGGGCCTGTGCGTCATAAGAAGTAATTTAACTGATGAAAATAGACAAAAAAATATTATAATTGTGGCTTTTTTTCTGTTTGTTTTTTTCAAAGCAGTCTACTCTGAAAAAAAATTACTGGTCTATTCGTTCCAAAAGCAAAATTTGCCTAATTGTAAACAGCAATGTTGATCTGAAATGGCTTAATAACACAAGCACTTTTTTACTTTTTATTGTTGAAACATGACATGACATGACTTTTTGAATAGTTATTTAAGTACAGGGGCAATAGGGGTGGATAAAAACTGAAATTTACTGACCACACAAGCCTTGAAACCAGTACTAGAACATGAATGAATTCGTCGAAATGATGAGGGACCACGATGAGCTCACCAGTGACCGTCTGCTCCACTTCCGGATGTAAATTTTCCATTCATTTTTCCCCACAGACTTCATATATTTAGTTCAAAGACATCGGAGACACTACCCAGCTACAGCTGCTACTAACTAATATCCACAATCCAAATCCTGTTTATTTATAAAGCACTATTAAAAATGACAAAGTTTACCAAAGTAAGTAAAGTTTATTTATGTAGCACTTTTCACAGAGACACAGATAGGTCACTAAACTAAAAACAGCAGAAGTCATAGCAGTGCTGTACATAAAGATAAAAACATATGTATAATACGATGAAAAAAATTATATATACAACAATTATTGAACAGTAAAAGACCTCAAAACTAGTTAAAAGCCAAAGAAAGCAAGTGTGTTTTAAGAAGTGATTTAAAAGCAAGAAGAGAATCAGCTTGTCTTACGTGAACTTATTCCATAATTTAGGCCCAACAATAGAAAATGCTGTGTGTTCTCCAAGCTTCTACCTGGACAGAGGAACCACGAGCAGAGCAGATCTGAGGGAACACACTGGAGAACAGTATGGCACCAGACAAAACAAACAAACGTATTTTTAAAATCCACTTTGAAATGAACAGGGAGTCAGTGAAGGGCAGACAGGATTGGGGACACGCGGTTTTATTTCCGTGAACCAGTTAAAAGACGAGCAGCTTCGTTTTGGACTGGCTTATAGTAACATAGAGAGCAGTCTTGTCGTGACAAAAGTGTGGATCAAAATCTCAAAATGGTCTTGAAAGTGATGGCTTTATCTTTGCCAACTGCCTCAAATGGAAAACGCCAGTCTTTATCACAACATTTATTTGTTTGTCAAGTTTAAAGTCGTTTTAAGTCCAAAAAGCATGTTTAAAGTTCGGATGTAGTCGTTTTAAGTCCGAATGTAGTCGTTTTAAGTCCGAATGTTGTCATTTTAAGTCCGAATGTAGTCGTTTTAAGTCCAAAAAACACATTTAAAACACAAGATTTGGTGAAATGCTTTGATAACTTAAAGGTTTATAAAGATTCTAAAATTAGAGGGTTATTGTCATTAGATACCACATAGCTGATTAACCCTGAGCAAGCTTTCACTTATTTATTTATTTATTTTTCTGGAAAGTCTATGGGGAAAATGAATGAGAAATGTACTTCCGTAAGCATGGGTGTGGGCGGTCACTGTTGAGCTTCATTATAGCACATTTAAAAGCTCATAAAGGTCAGTGTTACATAATATGCCTCCTTTAATTAAAACTACCAGTCGAACTAACCTCAGCCACCCAGCTCTTACTTAATCAAGCTTCTTTTTACACTACTTTCTCTCTCTCTTCCTCTCTTATCTCTCTCTTCTCCGTTTCTTAATAAAGACTTGTATTTAGACTTTAGGTTTACACATTGTGCCAGCCTATATCCCTCTTTCTCTCCCCCGTCTCGATCGCTTCCATCTGCCCGCTGGCGTTCACCTTAGTGGGGCCTCAGACTCAAAGAGGTGGTGACAGAAAAACAAGATTAAATACGTTTGGACGTGGACGAAAGAGCAGTGAGTTTTGTTTAAGAGACTGAGATGGCTGGTGTTGCATGCTCCGTACAGAGGAATTAACAGCCCGTTGTAAATGAATTGGTTGAGTTAGACTGAGCCCCTATGTAGTGCACGCAGAGGCACAGGCAGGTCAGAGAGTTCCCATGGTCCTGTGGGGCTGTCGGGGGATTGTAAGTCAGGGTGGGCAAGTCTAAACCTGAAGTCAGAGCTCAGCAAATTCAGTCTTAAATGTGTGAGTTTGGCTGAGAGTGATTTAAAGTTCCTAAACAGAAGTAGTATAAACACCAACATGATAAGATATGTGTGTATTTTGTGTATTTTTTTGTTTTAAATGTCAGCCAATATCGTCTTAAAGGGACAGTCCAGAATTTTGGACTCATTTCCTACTGAGCCAGAGTGTTGGAGACATGTGGAGACACTTTTTTAAATATTCCATCCAGTTCTTGTATTTGCAGAGGTCACTGGTGCTAG